AGATTCACAATCACTTTTCGAATCTGTCCCATTTTAAGGTCAGTGGATTGCATCACGGCACGTATGGATGTATCTTGTTAACATAGCACTTCGTTTGAAGAAAAATCGTCTAGTGAATGCCAGAAAAAAATCATTAATCATGTTTTGGCGGCTTTATCCATTAATGTTAACTGAATATTACTCTTTCGGAGCAATCTTTTTAGAATTTTTGTCGCTATAGATGTACTGTTGCGTATAGTGCGTGTTCCTGTTTTTTTCACTTATCATAGAATAATTTTCCTCATTTTCGATGCCTGTTAGCTCAAGATAACTTTCATCCCGGACGTGCGAGATGTTGTCTGAAAATGCATCTTTTTTCCAAATAATTTTCACCAAATTTTGTGGCCTATATGATGATGCAATTCTTCATGACAATTTGTCAAACTAGGCTGAATTTTAAAGTTTTGGATGGAAGTTAAAAATTGAAAAAATACGATCGTTATAAAAATGAACTTAATTTTCTTATACATGTGCAATTTTCACGAAATGATTTTTATCCAATTGATATAATAAAAGTTGGGTCCATCTTAAGTTAATCGGAACGTTGTACTTACTACTTCTAAAAATTTTTGGATTTATGCTACTTATGTAAAAAATTGAATAGTTTATATGACTCCTTTCACGAGGCCCGAATTCATGTGAAACCTTAACTTGTCACGGACTTGCTTCAGTAGAAGTTTATCTACGGCTATAAGTTTGCTTTCAATGATTGATTTCAATAAAGAGATTTTACTCTATCCATCCTATAACTTACCTTTATCCATGTGAGGCGTCATTCGAGTTTTCGTAGACTTGCAAAAGTGAGTCCTTCAGTTTTCACTATATTTGCGAAACAACGAGCGCGCCATGAAACACATCTTTATGGGAGATGAGACTTCGGTCAGTGCATACGAAATAAGGGACGCGTGCAGCGAATCGAATATCGAGGAAAGAATAACCGAAAATCGGCAAAACCAACGCCAAATACTCTCAAAAATCAAGGTCACGTTGATAATTTTCCTTCAATTACGTTTTTATTTAGCCAGGGCAAAATATGTAATAACCGATATAACTGAATGTTATTAAGACAATGAAAACGTTGAAACTACTTTGTAAGAATAGATAAAAAGTTTTATATTTTATAAACAAATTCGCCGCAACTTTTATCCAAAGTAGTGTAGAAAGAGAATGAATTAACGGCCCGCTCTAATCGCAATTTGTTTGGTTTGGCAGCACTTTGGGTTGCTTGTTCATCTACATCAAGCAGTGCTAGCAATCTTAAATTAACTGTAATAGTCCTTGAAAATCTTATCTTTGCTAATGAATTATGAGCATTCATAATTCCGCCTCCCTCATAACAAGTCATGCGACTCCAAGTAATAGATAATAATTACCTTTCATGGAATTGAAATTTCTCCATTAATATAATAAATTCAATAGAACAAAATGTTTTTAAAAATTATTTCAACGCGATCAAACTGTCATAGGTATGTAAACGTGTAATTAACATCAGAAATTTGCACAAGCAAAAAAATCAAATGATTTAGTAAATATATATCATACCTGTGTCATAAGTAATTTACATATTACAGTAGCAGTAACCGTAACAAAAATGAGCAGAAAAAGTGAAAAAAATAAAAAAATCCAGTGAATGCAAATTGGACTATAATTGAAAGAATATGCTATTGAAACGAGTTTTAATTTTTTTTTCCCCTGCATAAAAGAAACATTCATTTTACATTATTTTAAAAGAGTAGAGTTATCGCATGAAGTTGAACGAAAATGAAAGTAAGACGAAAAATGAAAAAAAAATTTGGTGCTATAAGGACTTGCGTTCTAGAGAGCAATTGTGATAATCATCATTTAAATTCGAAATTATTGTCGTCTAAACTCTGCTTTTTTAGCACACGGAAGAGCGTGATAAATCGAAGGAATACACTTTTCAGGTTTGGCTTATACATATATGTGTACGTAAATATATCGTATCGTATCTACATAGCACGTAATGTAAACCGCATGAATAACGGGTAAGACTTTCTGCCTACTCCACTCTTATACTCTGCGAAAGTGTTTGCTTCAAACAGTGCACTAATAGGAGTAAACGTTCGCTGCAGGCATGAAGCAGTAGCTTATATTATCAAATTGAATATTGAATTGGATTGAGTTTACAATTATGTGAGTGAGTTTTTGCGGGCACAGTACACATACATCCCGATGTTGGTTTATTACCCTTTAACAATAATCGCTTGCTGTTATTGCGAGTCGACAAAGTCACAAAATATATATTTAGAAAATGCAAAAGCGGCTCTTTTCGATAACGCCGAACGTAGCGTATCTTTGTATTAAATCTACTGCTATTATTCGGCTCTTCCCGCAGTAAAAACTTCTGTATAACTCCGCTCGGCAGTATCTCCGCCTTACCGGCATGAGAAACTGTTCAAGGAGAAACCGTCAACAATATAGGAAGCTTCTGCTTCTTTACTGAGTAAGCAGCTACTACGGAAGTGTAAGATTTATCATAAATCTGGTTGCTGTTGAGGAGAGCATAGAATTAGTAGTGTGATTGGGTATATTTCTCTTTGGATACTGAAAATTCATGAAGAAAAAGTAGGCAGTAGCAGTTCATGGTGAGTGGATAATCCAAATGTACAAGTGGTTAAATGCTGGTTAATGCCGAACACCCGAAAACATTCTAGTACTCACTGCCGGGACGACTGTTGCTTAAGTGCTCACTGCGTATGTCACTTGCACACAGAATAGCCATATGGATTTTTCAATGTGTACGAAATAACGGCGTGAGAGCAACGGAGAACTGAGTGCTGGTTATGGCCTTGCGAGGAGTATTGTGATGGTCGCTAAACAATTAGAAGAGTTAGGTTGACTGCGGCGTGGAGAGTTTCGTCCGCACGCAATATCCTATATCTAAGACCCAAGCTTAGGTGTAGACCCTTTAAGTGATTTGAGATTACCTTACATTCTGAAGGGCGTAACTCTGTAAATCTAATGGCATAGTCTAGTTAAGCTGCGTTGACAGATGTAGACTTAAAGTAGTAAAGGTATTCAACTTCTGTGTGTCTCTATCATGTGAAGTGGGTTGATAAATTTCATTATAGGCTCAAAATTTACAATTAATGGTAGTAGTCAATGTCAAAACGTTCGCATCTTGGGAATTTTATTGCCTCCATTCCTTATATGGTCTTGGCAAAAGAGATAGATTGTTAGCAAATGCAGTAAAACTATTTGTTTGCGTTTGAACATTGCTATCCATGATGACTTTATCCGAGGAGGAAAAGATATTTATATTGTATATTACGACGGTTGAATGTGTGGTTATTGTAAAGAAAAAGTCTACATATATTATGTTTAAGCAAAACTATACTAAAATAGATTGTGCAGCATTTGAAAAAGAATACCTACTACTAATCCACGTTATAAGTAAAAATAATTAAAGTACTTAACAATTAAGTGTTGAAAATTTAAAAAAATATACTGTGTGTACCAAGTTACCAACTGTTACCGTTTTTTAATGTAAAAATAGACCGTGATTTCAACTTTGGACACCTAAAAGTATGCTATTATAATCTAAGACTTTTCGTTACGTTCATAACTTCTTTTCTGACTGTTGAGCTGTTGTACTGTTGTGCTCTTTATAGGAAAACACGGCTAAAGTACAATAAAACTTTGCTAATACACGTACACCTCCCTCTTTATACCTAATGTGTACATGAGGCGTGTAGCCAAGTAAACAAACGAAATAAAACTTAAGAGAAATAGGTAAATAAAGAAGGTCAACTGACAAAATCGCTATACACGAAAGTTAAGACGCTAACAATGTCTAGCAAACATTGATTTCTTGTCAAGGTGGGTTTGATTCTCAAATACTTTTTCCCTTATCGTTATTGTTGTGCTTACATATATATATATATATATATATTATTATTTTTTCTTTTTTTTTTTTCTTTTGAAACATGCTTGCGGCCAAACACCATGTCCTGGCATTTCAATAATTTCTAAAAATTGGCCAAACATGTTGCTTAACAACCGGTACAAATAAAAGAAATTAATAGGCGCGCATACATGTGAACAGATATGTAAACGTTGATAGATAGATGTCTAACATAAAAGAACGTTGCACTGTACTTTATTTAAAATTTTTTCCTAGTCTCCAATATTGAAGAGGAATTGATTTTATTCTAGCTTTACATAAGCAAAGGAGTTTCAGGGAAAACTTAACAAAATGCCTGAGAAAATTTTACTTAAATTGGTGTATAACGTGAATTTCGCTCACATACTTGTAAACTGACACGTGTATGCGTATGTATATAAATTCTAGAAATTGATGTAATGGGCTTGTACGTCTTGACAACATTGACAAGATTTTTTTATGTTCATTCTTATATGAACTATAAAAACACTTTGACTTCATAAGTGGATTTGTAGGTTAATAGGTAGTTATGTGAAATATACCTTTCTTGACAGTCAAAGAGGTCCTTTTTTTGTTCTTGTGGGTGAAAGGAGAGCTCAAGGGTTTTTTAAGAACATATAATATTGAAAATTGCTATCATTCATTTGGATTTATTTGCTAAATTGAAAGAAGCCCTCTCTGGCGTGGGCTAAGTGAATGTTTCGCTCCTTTAGCACACTTAGTAGTTTTATTAAAATGTCTCTATTGCATTTTTAATGTCCTTCTAAATAGCCCTTCTAATGAAATCATGTCTGGATTTTTTATTATTTGTTCGAGCAACGGTTCCCCTTTAATAACAATACTAGATCGTCGCGTAGATGAGATCAAAAGACTAGTTAGGGAATTCATATCCTCCCTACAAGCCTACGCTTTAATTAAAATTTAATTTTCTTCGTAAAACTTCTTCTGTATTATTTGGAAAATTAGTAAAACTTATTCGCACTCCAGACAATTTTCTAAGCTTTTAAGTTTATTTAAACGGAAAATTGGAATTTATGATATTTATTTATGTATTTAGAGACATAAAAGGATTGAATTATGGTGGCCGGTTTTGAACAGCGACCTTGGACTCCAACTGTAAGACGTGGCCAAATTGCAGCTGAAACCCAAACACCGGGACCAGCATCAGTAGCGTTGCCTGGTTTATTAGGTAAGTAAGTCAAAAGGAATTTCTTAGTTGAATCGCCTAAAGCAAAGTTAACAAATTAACAAAGTAAGTTAAGCACTTCAGCAAATGTAAACAAAGTAAGACCCGATATATTCCCATATATCAGGTTTATCAAAAAGTCTATAATAGTCTTAGTTGGTTTACTAAAGTATATAGCCATCCATTTTCCGATTCCGAAAGTGAACTTATATAAAACACGCTTCTGCTTAGGATTTGGAGCATAGAAATTCGTAAAACTTATTACGAAAACAATGAACATAAGGTTACGTTTCGTTCACGTTTGGGTCACATTTGGGTAATTAGGGATTATTATCGCTTTGGTGTACAGAAAACACTTCTGTGGACTTTTACGTGTACAAAAATAACTTTTGATTCTTATTTGTGGACTGAAAATATCATTTTCGACATGAAAATTGCATTGCAGGTCCTGTTAATTGAAACCGTTAGAGAAGCATGGTAACTGATTTTATGTAGCAAAAACTGTGTGATTTCGCCTTGGATAATAGGTGGTCTTCAACAAAATGGTACAATAGACTACACTTCTCGTGGCACAGTTATTACGACAAAAGTTCAGTAACCAACTAATCTCCACAAATTGCCTATGTGAGCTTGCCAAAAATATCATGTGATATAAAAATCCCTTTGGATTCTTTATGTTGGTGTTGTGTTGGATCACTGGTTGACTTTAATAAACTACGAACTCTCAACGATTTATTCATTAGAGCGGATATAGGATTGAATCTTTACAAAAGTTCCAGAGGCGACCATTTGCATGAAATCATTTTTAAATAAAAATGGCGTAAGTCAATATAGAAAGTAACGAAAACATTGTCTTTTATCGTTCAGTTCTTATTATAAATTAATACCTCAAGAAAACCTATTTGATGACTATATGTTTAAGTTTAATGCTAAACTTATCTCACCTTAAACTCAAAAAAACTTATTTGATGACTATATATTTGACTTTAATGCTAACGGCACCGAGCAATGAAATTGTGCAGAGCTTTAGGCTAAGAAACAGCTACGATGTATCAAAAATCACGCTAGCTTGACTTCCCAGAATACCTGAACTGGTTCACATTTCGCAAAATCTGTTAAAAAAATTAACTGATCAGAACTGCCCTTGAACTCAATGAAGATAGTGAGTCATACAGCGAAGATACAATGGCATCTATTTTCCTACCAGCGATATTAAGCCCAATATTAGTTAGCAAATTTTTAAGTAGTAATGTATTACCTTTGTTGAAAGCATAATTTAAAATAAAAGGAAATCCGTTTTGACTGTTGATATGATATAGCCGCCATATGTTATTTCCCGCATTGCCCTGCAAACATTGAAAAGATACACTAAGTGATGGATGATGCGCATGCTTAGGTAAACTAAAACGTAAACAACAACAACAGTTAACAAATATTGCTGGGAATTTTGCTAAACAAAGATCGAGGATTCTAACATTAAAATTTCGAATTTGATTACATTGAAGAAGGTTCAAGTGCGACATTTCGTTGGAAAACATGCCAGCTCTATCATTGAAATTTTGCAATTGGTGGAGCAGCAGCCGAACGGAAGCTGTCACGAAATAACGGAAACATCAAATATCAACCACACGACATCGAATCATTTGAATAGGACAGGAAAAGAGCTCTAAACAGCGGAAAAAATCGCGGAGACCTTGCAATATAACCTAATATATACGCATACATGTAAATATTTTCTTCCAACAATCATTACTAAGCCAGTCTTTCGAGATCACTTGTAATAGAAGGTGGGCCTATATATTGTATACATCCGTATAAAGATAGGCCACCCTTGTATCACAAGGCATATAAGGTATATCATTATTTTTTTTTAGACTTATTTCCAAGCGCATCTTAGGCACTTTTTGCGCATCTGCTATCGATCACAGCGGTCACGCCAAAGGCTCTAACATATTTTAATGAAGCATTTTTTTATTATTAAAAAGAAATAAATATTTTTTACTTTATTATATTTATCTCTATCTAATTTACTTATTTCATTTTTCCTAAACTCGATTTTGAACAAAATGTTGGAACATCTAGGTATTTCGTTTTCTCTGTTAGTATCCATTAAAGTTATAATGCTTCACCTAACGTACATAGCGGTTGCTCGAACCAATTAAACAAATCTTATCTCGAAATTATTGAAATCGTCTAAGGTATAGGGCATATAAATACTTTATCACCTAAAACGAATGTGGCGCTTTGTCTATTCTTTCCGTGTCTGCTTTGTACATATATATAACCAATGAAATTTGATTAATTTTATTTTAAGGGTCCAAAGTAACCGACTCCCGCAAATTGGCCGCTCCTTCTTTCACTTTCGGGCAAAAACATCGCTTTGCAACTGAGACATTGGGCGAAGGTCCAGCCAAATACAATATTACCGGGTTAGGTAATAAAGGTAAAGATACACCGCCAGCGTCCAGTTTACAAAGTCGTCCCAAAGCAATGTCGAAATTTTCAACACCAGCACCAGGTGAATACAACGTGGAGAGAGCCACCAAGACCATCAATCAAACGGCGCCAAAATATACATTCGGTCAGAAATTGGCTACGGAGAAATTAGATTCAACACCAGGTAAATGAAAGTATTGTGCATATTGATTAAATATAAGTTAATGGTTCTGGTTAATGTTATTGTTGTTTGAGTGGGTTAGTGTGTTTCAATTCAAATTTCTTATAAGTATATACATATGTATATATATATATATATATGTATATATCTATGTGCTGCTTTGGAGTATTTCAACGCTTGTGTCTAGCAACTCATTGCATTATTTTGAAAATCTTAAAATCGTCTCAAATTGTTTCATTATTTTTTACAGTGTAAATATATCATAAACCGATATTTGTATAAAAATCCAAAAAAAATATTTTCGACATTTCATTCAAGAGAAACGCAGTTTTTAAAATTCAATAAGGTAACCTATATGTGGCTTTCAATATTTTATTGCCTTTTATTGAGATGGTTTGCATTGCTAATGAGCTTAGTCCTTTTTGTTTTGTTATTGCTATAAAAAGCTTCTTTTCTTTTAGCATTAATTATCAAAATTTATCGAAAATTTTAATTAATATTAATTGATTTTGTATTTTTCTTCTAAAATAAAAAAAAAAAAAAAAAATTTTTTTTGGCGAAAATTTCTCCGCTCTACATCTAGGTCCAAATCATTATCGAGTTGTACCGCTCGATTTAATAAAACCGCGAGCTCCTCAATACACATTTCGCATTAAATTTAATGTTATTCTAATCAGTACACCAGGTAATAAAAAATGCAATTTTCGTTCTTTCCCTTTTTTTTTTTTTAGTTTTTGTTAAAAATTTGTACAAAATAATTGGCTTAAACACCTCCCGTTGTACACAATTCCATGTTCATGAAAGGCACGTCAATATTTTACATTATACATTAGCGTCCTTAAGTAATTGAACGATATAAACTGTATCGAATATTTGTTTATTGTATAATACATTGTAGATTAAATTTTTTTTTAAGTTTTTAAAAAAAATTTTTTAAATGTGACCATCGACGAGAAGTCATTTGGTCGACAGAAACCATTTTAACGATGACGTTACATTTCTTGCATATCAGAAATTCGAGTTTTTATATCCTAAACTAGTAATGGTACAAAAGTGTGTTAAGTTAGCGCGGAGGTAGATAACATCCAGAAGGACTTGAGAGGGATGCTGCTTTTATTATGTCGATCGATTTAGAATCATTTTATTCTTTGCTTGTTTGCTCTCCTGTTCGTCTGTTTTTTTGTATTCAACCTACAGGTCGTAATTTTTGAAATATTCTTGGCAAACTTGGTACACTGATTTGCTTTTGCCTAGGCAAATGTTTCAGATCGGGATGCTCTTACGCGCATCTTCCATGTATAGCATTTTATTTTGGAAAATCGTTATGTGAAGGAATGCCGTTGTAGGGTATTGAATGGTGGACCGTATCACACCACTTTTTTCTTCTTTATACTTTATGTATTGACGCGATAATGGTTCGGATCAAGGTTATAGTCCCAAATTGATATGGGATCATGAACTAATAATATATGCCAAGGGCTCAATGTTTTTTCAAATTTCGCTATCTGAGCATTCAAGCAGCAGTGGATAGCCAAGCAAACCAAGAAGGATAAAAATAAATGAAGTTGAACTCTACGCTAATCAGCATACTTTAGGAATTGCCAACCGCCGTCCCTCTAAAGGATCCAAAAATTCTATTTTTTTTTGCTTTACTAAGGAGTGCCTTCAAAACGATTTTCGTAGAAACAATGTCAAATCAGAACAGAATTCGTTTCAAGTGGAAGTTTTTAAACGTAAATAATTCATTCGCCTCCATTATCATGCTTTCTAATTATAATGCGACAAAGAAGAAGAATATCCTTTTAGGAGAATACTTTTGTTATTCTATACTATGAAAACGTGTAGTAAATTTGAATGTGGCAAACTTCTTCAAACAAACAGAGAAATGCTAGCAATTTCGATGAGCGTGGTAAAAGGCTTCTCCAAGATCAGTTCAGAGAGGAAACAAATGCTTTAAAAGGTTACTCGAAAAAATGTAGTTAGATTAAGGTAGAATATACAGTAAAATGATGTCTTCTCCGTTTATTAAAAAATATATTTACCATCTTTGTTCTAAGAACATCGCAGTTCATTCAGTACCTCACATAATTAATAAAATCAACGAATTTTTTTTTTTGAAAATTTTATTATCTTTAGCCTGCGAAATTTTTCAATGTCGAATGAAACCGTCTTTTACGTTTCATCCTACAAAACTTCATTATTGTAGTCACGCTAATCTAATTATATGAAGCGACATTAGTTCCATTAGTTAACAATGAATATTATTCTACTTATTAAGTGCTTGCATGTATTTTGATCGTTTCTTCACTTGAAAAAAGCACTCATTGAGAAAAATTGGTACAACATATATTAATTAAAATATTTTCAATCATTTTCTGAAACTTTTCCCCGTGCTTCTAACAATATTGCAATAAAATGTTGAAAGTACTATACTGATTTGGCAACGGTCCAATCATCGATCCACTTCTTCAGCATTTCGAAAGAGCGTGCCAGTCAGGCCTTGCTTCATCGATCTGAACAAGCGCTAATCAGAAGATGCTATGTCTGGTCAGTATGCTGGGTGCCGCAGAACTTCCTATTCAAGCCGGGTCTGTGTATCCTTGACCGAACTTAAACATTGTTTATATTGATAATTGGCATTATTTTATCATCATCACCAATAGATGTCGCAGATCAAAATACATGCAAGCACCTATTAACAAAATAATTTGTGATAATTAAAATTAACGTAACGCAGCAGAAGGTCAATAATCGTAGTTAATGCGAGTGTCGGAAAAGTATTAAAACCTAGCATATAAAGTCTATACATATAGTTTTGAGTAGATAAGTATCAAATAAAGTTCCACGACATCATTCAACACCCTATGACATCAGTATGCCGCGTTTGGAAATCGTTCGATATCCTACAACGCCGTTCGATATACCAGGACATCGGGCCATGTAGATCGTGGAAATTCAATTTTGTTAAGAGACAGTGGAAATCGGTTTACGCCTTCATGGTGGTCGCGGGAAGGTGATTAAAAATTGACATATCGAAAGCGATTTTTGAAATCGAAAATTTAATGAAAACGTTATATAAATTATCAACATCCGCTTACCTTTTTGTGTTGTCCGGATTAATTTGAAAAAATATGAAAAGATTTCTCTTTTTTAATGCTTTTAACACGGAAAGTTGTGCTCTTTTTTTTTTTATTTTACCCATTGCACACATTTTTAGTTTTATTGAAAAATGATACAATGATACATATCTCACGTTCCTAATATAATGTAAAGCACTTTAGTTTGCCTCAGCATATTATGTATCTCTCACGAACATCACTCTCCCTTCACTTTTGAAATTCTTAATAGAAGCATTAATATGGTTTAAATCTCTTAAAATATGTTTGATTTGAACGATTCCACCAACACATTGTTACACTAACGAAGCGCCCAATACATATTATCCTGAACGGGTATCGTTAGTGAAAACGAACTCACCATGCTACACATTTGGTAGGCGTAAACAAATTAACTGCGATAACAAACCACCAGCAGGTAAACATTCTTTGCTCTGCAGTTTATTTTTGCAATGTTCAAATTTTGTTTTCTTGTATGTAGTTTTTTCTTTAGCTAAATAAATAATTCCTTTCTTTTCACATTATTGCATATATATATAATTTAATTTTGTTTAATTGTTGCTCACAATTTCCAAATTTTATATCTTCATTTAGCACCTGGTTGCTATAGCCCTGAAAAAACCAATACACACTCTACACACGCTTATTCCATAGCCGGCAAAAGTACGCATGATGTTGTTGATTGCACGCCAGGTAAGTTTTAAGGATTTGCCGTAAAATTTGAAATGTCTTTACGATTTTTAGAAAAGTTTTTAAGTGGCTGAATAAAATATTAAAAATTTTCCAGCTCCTTGTGCTTATGAGCCGGAAAAATGTAAATTGGACAAAACGCCCGCCTTCACAATCAGTGGTCGTCATGTGGTTCAAACAACCAACAATACTCCTGCTCCCGGTACGTACGCTCCTGAAAATTGCCGTTTAGATCATGTTCCTGCTTTCAGCATTAAAGGCAGACATCCAGTAAAAAAAATAAACGAAAGTCCTGCCCCTTGTGCCTATTCCCCGGAAAAAGTGAAACTTGATCACACACCGGCCTACACGATAGTGGGACGTCACGATGTACAGAAGATTAATGAAACACCGGCACCAGGCTCTTATGCTCCCGAAAAATGTAAGATAGGAAAAGCGCCAGCTTTCAGTATAGCAGGAAGGCCTGAGGTACGTAGAACATCCAACACACCGGCACCCTGTGACTACGCTCCTGAGAAGGTGCGCCTTTATCATACGCCCGCATTCACTATCGCCGGCAAACAAGAGACCAAAATGAAAAGTGTTACTCCTGCTCCTGGTGCATATGCCCCAGAAAAATGCAAGTTAAATCAGACGCCTGCGTACTCTATTTCCGGTCGCCACGATTCGAAATTGATTAGTGATACTCCCGCTCCAGGCGCTTATTGCCCAGAGAAAGTGCGTTTGGATCATACACCAGCCTACACAATGGCCGGCAAACATCAACCGAAGTATCACATAGACTCTCCAGCACCCGGTGATTATGCCCCCGAAAAAGTTCGCCTTGATCATACACCAGCTTACACCATGTCGGGACGTCATAATGTGGAAAAATGTAGTGATACTCCTGCACCGGGAGCATATGCACCCGAGAAGGTTCGGCTAGATCACGTTCCTTCCTACTCAATATCGGGACGACATAGCCATCAAAAGCTAGATGAGAGTCCCGGACCGGGAGCATATTATGCTGAAAAGGTATGTTTAGATCGTACGCCGGCCTATTCAATGGGTGGCCGTCATGATCTTGAAAAATTTAGTGATACTCCCGCTCCCGGAGCTTATTCTCCCGAAAAATGTCGTTTAGACCATACGCCTGCGTATGCAATAACTGGAAAACATGATCTGAAAATACGGAACGAAACTCCTGCTCCAAGTGCTTATGCTCCTGAGAAATGTAAACTGGACGGAGCGCCAGCATTTTCATTTGGGGGCCGACATAATTTACAGAAAGCTAATGATACTCCGGCACCAGGCGATTATTATCCAGAGAAAGTCCGCCTAGATAGCACCCCAGCTTACACAATGGCCGGTAAGCATGATTCTAAAAAAGTCAATGATACACCGGCGCCGGGCGATTACGCTCCAGAGAAATGTAAACTCAATTTGACACCCGCGTTTACCATGAAAGGTAGACACGATATTGAAAAACCTAGCGATACACCTGCTCCAGGTGCCTATAGTCCGGAAAAAGTTCGTTTAGATCATACGCCTGCATATACTATGGCTGGCAAACACAGTTTAAAAATTCCGAATGATACGCCAGCTCCTGGAGATTATGCTCCCGAGAAATGTAAATTAAATGGTTCTCCTGCGTACACTATTAAGAGCAGACACGATCTTCAAAAGCTCAGTGAGACACCTGCACCTGATGCCTATTATCCAGAAAAAGTCCGCTTAGATCACATTCCAGCTTATACAATGGCCGGGCGTCATAATCTTCAAAAAGTTTCTGATACTCCAGCTCCGGGCGATTATTGCCCAGAGAAAATACGTTTAGACCACACCCCGGCCTACACCATAGCTGGTAAACATAATCCCAAATATGAGATCACCACTCCAGCACCCGGCGATTATGCCCCAGAGAAATGCAAACTTGATGGAGCCCCTGCATTCTCTATTAAAGGTAGGCACAATTTTGAAAAACCAAACGATACACCTGCTCCGGGAACTTATTGCCCGGAGAAAGTACGTTTGGATCATACTCCAGCGTATACTCTAGCTGGAAAACATAATCCAAAATACGAAATCAATACGCCAGCGCCAGGAGATTATGCTCCCGAAAAAGTGCGTTTAGATCATTCACCTGCCTACACAATTGTCGGACGGAAGAAGGACAAAGTTATCAGTGACACTCCCGCACCAGGCTCCTATAGTCCAGAGAAAGTGAAGTTAGATCATAGTCCAGCCTATACCATCACAGGACGCATATTGAAAGAATATGTGGAAAATACTCCTGCGCCTGGAGATTACAAACCGGAGAATTGTGATTTAAAAACTCATACGCCTGGCTTTACATTTGGTATGAAATTGAAGAAGGAAACGATCAGTGATACACCAGGTATGTAAAGGCTATTAGGATAAAAATATATCATGCAAATATTTCAACCATTAAACTTTAGCACCCACTGCTTATGAACCTGAAAAGCACCCTCTCGACCATAAACCTGCTTACACTTTTGGCACCAAAAGCATTGTAAAAGTGATAAGTGAAGCACCAGGTAGGCTATAGTATAAGGTGGAGTAACGTAAGCTGCATGTCTTTTTTTTCGCTTTGCATGTTCATTTGCTTGATATGTCCCCTACGTAAATGTTTACTTTATGTATATTTAGCTCCTGGTTATTATCATCCCGAAAACTATAAACCCGATCATACTCCTGCCTATACATTTGGTCTTAAAACTCCAATCATGCCAAGTAAGTTCCTAGAGAGCGTATATACCTAACACAGTATTTACCTTACATTTATGTGTACTTCTCATCGATTTCTTTTCGTTTTTCTTCTCTGTTTATTGTTTTGTGCGCTTTTTCCTTTTATCCATATTGTTCTGTAAATATCTATGCATATGAATGCTTTAATCTATGTTTATGTGAATGCCTGGGTACATACAAATATATTTAGTCATGCCAGTTGGACCTTATGTAGAAGATCGAATCTTGCAAAGACGCGAAAAGCGTTTAGCAAGTCCTGGTAAGTAATGCTCTTTTGATTTTTTATTGATGTTACATGTGGTAATTTCTTCGTATCCCGACTTTGCCCATTGAAAAGCATCGTTATTTTTAATTTTATAAACACAGATGCAATTTAAAATCACTGATACATAGTAGTGCTTTAATTAAATAGTTTTCTGTTTACTAAAACTACACCTTTCATAATCAGGAAAAATAACAACAACATATATAGCGATTGTCTGTTAAGTTTCCGACCTAAGAAAATACAAAACACGGCCAAAATTCAGCTCTATTCGTCAACGTTCTTCATCTTTTAACAATGATACAATCACTACTTCTCTGACATTTAGGCATCTTCGTCATACGACTCGCCACGACTACCAGAATGCACTTCAGTTTCTGCAATGTCCTCGTCATTTGATCGAAATCTTTTTCGCCCTAACATCCTAACATCCCAACATTTGTCAGCAAGGAACAGTAGCTGGGTACTTGACCTAGAGAACATATGGGGCGTGGCAGCAAATCATGTAATTTTGTCGATGTAGCCGTCGGCATGTGACTCGGCATTATTGGTCCAATGTGAGCCAATACAGCAATCAACGTAAGGTCAGCTTCTTCCTGCCTAGACCTTGATTCGGTACGCGACAAACAAGTTCTTTGGACATATTCATAGCTGCTGTTATATCGCTAATCTTAAGCTAGGCGATGTCCCGAACGTTTATGGCCAACCAACGAGATACGACTATATACCAAAATTTCATTGTAGTAAATGAAGTGCAACGCCTCCGTAGATAGCATTCAGCTTGTCTTTAATTTGTGCAGGCTTATGGTCGTTCAGAAAGGAACACTTAATAATAACACTTGAACTTACTCAAACCATCGCCACAACCATCCAAAACCACCGCGCATCAAAAATTTGATGAGCACTTCTCAGCTCATGTAGAAATATATTCATTAATTTTTGTGGACAAAATTGTCATATTTACCTTCAAGCAGGAAACTTTTCGGGTATAAATAAATACTTTTCATGTCTTTCGGTAGATAGACTTCAAAAGAGCAAGTTCCTTTGCCGATTTCAAGGCGTTTTATGCCAATTTACTGCGACCACATATCGGAGACAATTCTTTGAGAAAAGTATTATAATCCCAATCGTGAAAAAGTTAAGTTTTCCAAAATAATTCCAATAATTCATAAATTGATGTTACATCTTCTTCTTCATCCTTGCACTTATATATCTTATCGGCATGATATTTTCACGATTCGAATTTTGCCACAAAAAGATTTAAGTGCTAAGCACACAATAAATGAGTCTGCGCCGTGCATCATGCAATCAAAATTTCAAACTAAAGTTGTAGTAGTTGAACAGATAGCTTGCATCCCATTGTTGGAGTAAAGATCACATAAAAAAGATGTCTCGCATGATGTACGATATGAATGCATCTATTCTTTTCAGCGCTTGGGTCATTCATTGAACTTTTACATTCTAACGTAAAGGAACGTTAAAAGTGAAAGAAATATTCCGACGTAACCTCAATAAAAACAAAAACGAATGAGGAAGCTTTGTCTATACATAAATGTTAAAAAACAATTTTTTTATTTTTCTCTCGCTACACTCTTATCACGGATCTATTGTTTTTTCCTTTTCTTTTGCAATTATAATCACTATTACCTCACCCTCTTACCACTGCGTAGTGCGTACGAATTTGGTTATACTTGAGAATGCAAGTACGCAGCAACAACAATTAATACAGCAACAATTGCAAACGCAGCAATTAGAACAAAAAGAAAGCACCACCACAAAAACAACCACAATTACTGAAACTCATTCGGCAAATCTTGCGCATAATGAAAATGTAGTGAAATCGTCAAATAAACCAATTAATCTAAACGAAAATGTTAGTAGCTTGAGCACCTCAGTAGATGGTAGAAAATCTCGTTCACCGAAGCCTAGCAAACGCACGATTATTAGCACTAGAGGCAGCGATGCTCAGATTTCCCAGCAAATGCAACAAATTAATGGCATAGACGGTGAGACCGGTAATATAATTACGACAACGATTCAGGCTGCAACCAACGGCTACAAGGATGATGGTACTGTTAAGGTCCAAGCTAAAGGTAGTGCCAATCGTCAAGAAACGAAAGCAGATAGTTCTTCGAAAAAAACTCACGTAACTGCGGACGGCGCCGCTGTGACTACGGTGAAATCTTCGAAAAGTTCAAAGGTTAAATACGCTGTAGAAGCCAGTACAGTACGAGAAGAAATAATCAGGTAACTTTTAGAATGGCAAACAAATTATTGCTAATAGCTAACACACTATCCCATTCATAACAATCATCTTATTAATCAAGAAATAGATTAAGAATGTGTTCGGCTAGAACCGAATCTCTACCGTCCATCACCTGTGTGTTACTTTCACTTTTTATACAAATGACTCATAAGAATAACTAAAATAAAGTTTGTTTCCTGCATATTAAGTTTCTTCTGCTCAATGAGCAGAAAGCTTTGACATGGCAATAGGTCAATAAACTGCTGTCGTCTGCTTTAAGTCGTCATGATAGAAAATGTTGGAATAAATTTTAAATCGATGGACAATATGTAGATGGACATATTTGGAGAAGTTTTGCTTGCCTAATTTTGAATATTGAACCAAGGACTCAGGCGATGCTTCTACTCTTTCCAATCGTGAAGATTACCCGCGTACAGAAAGATAAACCCAAAAATTACATACATTAATTAAAGCTTCTATGTACGCAGTTTTAGTACGCATTTATGCTTTATATCAGCGATCATGTAAGTCGGTGAACATCAGAAGAAATGAGGGAAGAAAAAGAGCTAGGAGTATGGCCCCAATCGGTAATGTGCTGTGCCCTTCACTATAGGCTAGGGCCAAAGTACACTCTACCAAGCTGAGATTTGAACGCGCTGACTTGGTAGTCGTGATTCTTACCTACTTGGGGCTACACCTTATAGCCACGAGTTTGGTCCACTTGAAGAGTATTTGTTTCATTCCCTGCAGAACTGTCTTAATGGTCCGAAGCTGACTTGGGCTGAAGAGGGCTGCGAAAATACTTTAGTTCAGTTTTCCCTCCAGAAAGTCTAAAAAGATAGGATAATAGTTTTACCAGAAAAACTCAAGCACGATATCAAACAGATCTGATCAATTGATCAAAATATAAGAAAAATATGTTCGAAGTTTGTTGAGAAATGACACGACTTTTTTCTTTGATATGGTAGTGTTGCCTGCCTTATATTCTGCTCATTGTAAACACTTGCTCGAAACTGATTTTTGAGAACTCAGTTGTAATTATTAGAACTTCTTTCTAGACTTTCTTTAATAAAAAAAATTATACATTTTGGTGTTGGGTGGAATTTATTTGAAAATATTTTTTAGTTAGTAACGTTTTAATTTATTACTTTAGCTCCGAATGTCTATAAAATTCCTACAGTTTTGGGTATCAGCAAAGAGGGTACAATACGGTCTGCTCCTGCCTACACTATGGCCGGTCGACAGAAGCCGCCACCCTTGCCTAATCAATTAATGCCCGGTCCTGGTTATTATGATGCCGAATACACAGCCATTAAGCGTAGATCACCTATGTACTCAATGGGTGGTAAACATAAAATGCCTTCCGATGACATTATGAAACCGGGTCCAGGAGCTCATTGTCCAGAAAAAGTTTGTTTAATAATTGCTTTAAATTCCTTGGAAATAATTTTTATTACGTTCGCACATTTCAGGTCAATCTTTCAAACGTACCTGCTTATAGTTTTGGCATAAAACACTCTCCCTACTTGGGCTATTTACGTGATCATCGTGATTTTGGCTTTTCAGGCATTTGCTAAAATACTCCGTTAGAAAACAGTTAAAAATTTATTCATCCCTTTTGTTTGATGCCCGTTCACATTTACTTTCTGAATCACTTATGTTTTTTCAATTTTTTACAAAATTTTCTTCTATTTTTTGTACTAACAACATTTTCGTATCTAATAAAGTGTTTCACTAATTGAATTAGAGTTTTTCTTTAATAAAATTTTTGCTTTTATTTTGTTTTAATAAAATTAAAATTATGTATAAAAACTTATTATCTAAAATATGTTAATAAAATCTTTTAATAAAACAAAAATAAAAATAACTCAAATCAAACGACTTTATTTTTTATGGAAAAATATCAAATTAATAGAAACAAAAATGTTTGCTACAGCCTTCGAACAATGAACCTGTGCCGGTGCTCTATTGAAGTGTTGAGGTTTGTGTTTTCAGTATTTATTTTCGATTGGCCTTTATTTTCGATTAACTTCTGTTGACATACTGCATGCATTTGTTGTTATTTTCTGTAGTTTATCACACAAACATTTTCTCATGTAACAATCAGGCATCACGACTGCCAAAAACGAAAATAGCGCTAATACTGGTTATGTTAAACGAATTTCTTTAAAGCACGTGTTAAGCAACCTCCCATAAGCGTGTTATTTTTTTTTTTAATAATAAAATATACACATATACGTATATATTCATCGTGGCCGTTAAAGAAAGCTGAATTATCAAGTTTACGCAAAGTGAACCTTGTCAAGAAAATCCTGGAAAAAGAGAAAACAAAAAACGTTTGAAATCGTGTTTCTATACATTGGTCGAAACCATAATAAAGTCCATATAGTCACACCGCTCTAGTATTTAATGATGGATACAATAGAGAACAAAAGGAATGTAAATTATTGTATTTATTGATTTGTTTATTTATTTACATATGCCGTTTAAGTTCAGCGAAACTACACAACTCTTATTGCAAAGATTAATCTACTCGCAATTAAAGCAAAAGAGATCTTAAAACTATGAAATTCGTATGCACATATTAGAGGATAAGCAAAAAGAAAATTATATACTCGCGTCGCTCAACCATACACTCAACAAGCCACATGCATCAATTTAGAGTCCACATCGCAAACATTATTTGCTTTGTACGTTGGCGAAGCGCAGCTCAATAATCAGATGTTAAATTTTAGGTTGAGTATGACGTCGGCAATACACGGGTATTAAAAAGAGCAGTTTTAATGGAACTGGATTCGACATTGAAATTAGGTTATAAACATTATTTAGGTTTTTACGGACAACCCTAGGAGAGTTGAAAAGCTCATTATTGAACGTGCATTGGCTAAGTTATATCCAAAGAATATGACTTGTCACGCTGAAAAGAGCACTATCAACTTTCCCATGAAGTGAATGTCTAAAACCATCCTACGTTACTCGAGTGACTGCGAAGATATGAGTAGACTTAAGTTTCCTACCGCAAAAAGCAGAATATGCTTCTTTAAAGATGCAATGCATTCTAGTTTAGGTCGTACTAAGCCGCTTTTTCGTCACGAATGGGTTGATGAACTCCCTCGACCAGCGTTTAATAACGACCAGCTCCGGTATAGATTTATTCACAGAATGTTCAATAGAGACAAGTAGATTGAATCGCAGTTTATGATTAAATAGAAGACATAAGTCAAGAAATGAATCCACATTCTTCAACCTAAGAATATCAACTAGTTTCGTTTTAAAAATGGCATCGTCTTGTTTTGATTTAATATCACGAAATTAAATAAATATCAAATTATCAAATTATTTAAATGAGTTTGGAGGAAACACAACTGAAGCTCCGAAGTAAAAAAGAAAGGTTTGACGTCAGCAGCGAACGTTAGCTGGCTGAAGGAAGATCATTATTATATAGAATGAAAAGAATAGGTCCTAAATGACTGCCTTGTGGAACGAAGCGTCTCGAGAATCTCGGCGGGAAGGGAAACCTGAACTATGTAATTTTTGTTATAATAACTTGCGATTTGTACTTTGTAATGGAAAGGTAACTGCACGTTAAATCTTGCTCAATAAAAATTTCGAAGGAAATTTGCTTAAGATTTTTGTACGCCGTCTTAAAAATCTTAAAACTCCGTTTATGGATCGCTTACTAACTGTAAAAGCAGAAAAAGAAAAGCTTTTAGGATTTCTTCATTAAACGATGCCTGGGTTCATTCAAAAATTTCTAATAATTTATTCGCTCTATTGCCCAGGTTCCGACAAGACTGTGCATTCAGTGCAACCTCCAGCCCAATTTTCTTACCATTCGTTAGACTTAACAAAGTACTTAATAATTTCGTACGATGGCATATAGTTGTCACCACTGTTGGCAAGCAGATTTTGAAAGCTACGAAGTGAAAATGAAAACTGAAGCAATGTTGTGACACCGTCGACAAAAGAATCTAACAGAGCAGAGAACAGGAGAGAGTGAAGTAGTTAGTAATGTACTTTTTGGTAAACGTTATCACGGTACTCTTTATGTTCGATCTAATATTTAATTGCAAAGTCACAATATTAATTTATGGCGTTTATGCGAATTAATGATTGTACATATATGAGGGCTTCATTATATATGACCAATATCAAATATGACAGCTGCTATTCATTAGACTCTTTCATAATTGTCTCAGACTAATCAACATTTTCTTATCAATTTCTGAAATAATGAATACTAAGAATAAAAAGACAAATTACTAGAAAGAAGAATTAATTTCTTTATCACAAATCTATAAAAAGGTACTGCAGTGATTTTTTTTGTATTACGTTATTGTAGTACGAACGGGTCAGCTCTATACTTTAATTTGCTCTGTAATTTAAAGCAAAATGTTCATTGTTCGGTTATTCTTATTTAAAAGTTTAGTTGCTCTCATCCTCGTTAACGGTACTGTTGTTGGCTTAGAATGGACTGAATACCATAATTTAGATGAAATCTACGAATGGTTAAGTGACATGGAAGCAAAATTTTCCCCTTTGGTAACTGTCTACACGATTGGTTACAGTTACGAAAATCGTCCAATTAAAGCCATCAAAGTATCCAGCCGACCTGGTAATCAGGCCATTTTTATAGAAAGCAATATTCACGCCATCGAATGGATTTCATCAGCTGCTAGCACATGCTTTCTTAATAATTTGTTACATTCCAACGATAAAAATTTGGAAGATTTATTATTGCGTTATGATTGGTTTTTAGTACCGGTTATGAATCCTGATGGTTTTGCTTACTCCCATGAAATTAATCGCTGGTGGCGCAAAAATCGTAAGCCGACTGGTTTCTCAAACGAGACTGGACCTTGTTACGGCACCGATTTGAATCGTAATTTCAATTACGAATGGAAGAAAAGTGGTTTCCCATTAGATGATCCTTGCGATCATTGGTATCATGGATCCGCACCCGACAGCGAACCTGAAATATTGGCCTTACAGAACTTCATAAATCAATTCGAAGACAGCTACATACGTTTATATTTGGCCATACATGCCTATGGCAATTTTGTTCTTTTACCTTATGGTCATACCATTGAAATATTTCCGCCAAACTACGATCAAATGATGCGCATAGCTCAAGGTTTTGCTGATGCGGCTGTAATAAAATATAATACTACTTTTAAATGTGGAGCTTCGGGACTATTAAATCGTATATTACTTTATCAAACATTAGAGTTCTTAAAAATTTAACATTTGCGTATATTTTTCAGATTCGGGCTATGTATCTGGTGACGCCAAAGACTGGATTTACGGAGTGAAAAATGTACCATTTGCAGCCACCATAGAATTACGCGACAATGGCGGATATGGCTTTCTTTTGCCAGCTGATCAAATTGCCGAAGTTTGTACTGAATTAACCGACGGCATGGTTGGTCTAATTAAAGCTGCAGAGATGGAAAGTTTGCTCACACCAAACATTTAATATAAAGATAAAGAACAATGAAAATAAAATATTAATATTAATAGTTATACGAAATAGTGTTAAGCCTAGTAGTAGAGATAATTCCAAATGTCAGTATGGGTGAATTGCTGTACATTACTCGTAACTTCTTCAGTTAAGCTATTTTGTAAAAGAATGTCAAAGCAGTATTATAAAATTTCCTGCTTACTCTTGAGGAAATAAACTAATTTTCACTGAAAGCATTTCTTGATAAGTATCGAAAAGCCTTTGCAAGTTTTGTCTGTTGCTACCAACAACTTTTATCTATTCTTAGTGTGGCAACATGTTTAACCCATCAACGGTAGATTTTTTAATATGTTGAAATAGTCGAGAAGCCTGGCCATTCCTTATAGTTTCTGAATGAACTGAAGTCTTCGCATGCTATATTTTCCTAGATCATCCGAAATAAGTGGCAATGACAATAAACGTAACGGCAAGAATACAGCGAATGCGTGGAACTGAAATGCGTGCTATTTGAGCATTACAAACATTTCGCGTTCCCACCTCACATGTAATCATTGTCCCTTATGTCGGTTGCCGTTATTTGTTTACTTCCGAAATTTCAGAAACCTGTATTGGTCCCATTCGGATGATCCCACCCACAATATTGCACGCATTCGCAGCGGTAGTCCCAACGAATTTAAAAGCGAAGCTTATGATTCCTAATCAGTATCCGGACTTCTCCGTTCGAGCTGCTCGCTGGCAAGTTAATTCTAGTCAATTAGTTATCAAAGCATTTTTAAGTCTTCGCCAAACAATTACGTTAATTAGTCGGCCCGTTTATCTGTCGTATCTTTTAGATTCCTTTATCTAGAATTCTGACACATTGGATGTATTCGCCTCAATTTTTCTCCTTTCTCTTCATTTACGGGTATTAGTTTCTTCGCCTTTTTTAGAATATACACTCTTTTCTATATACCAATATCCTACTAAGTCTTACTAAGTTTGCTTTTCTCTTTAAATCGGAACCCTTCATTTCTTTCCTATACATTCATTTATTTTTGTACTCTTTATTACTAAAACAAGTAAGAACATTGTATTATTGTTATTATTATAATTTTAGACTAATGCAATAAATTCTTAGATTAAAAAAAAAAGATCTTGAGCACTAGCAACACAGGCTATCTATCGGCTTTAGTTTATATAAATGTACATTAAATATTGAGTCTAGTAGTTTTAATAAAGTAATATATTGAATTGATATTCTGTTCCTGAGCTGATTTTAGAATGTCCAAAGGGTTAATTGTTCCAAATGCAATACTTCTAGCCAAGGAAAAGTCAAGGCAGTCGCAGAGAATGTGCTTTATAGTGAGAGTTTGTCCACAACTGCAGATTGGGAAGGAGACTTCTTCAAGATCCATTGGTGGGTTGCAATTGTATGACCAAGGCGAATTTTCGAAAATGTTTGGATCTTGGTTTTCTCAACATTTGTTGGGTATAAAGGTGGAGGAGTTAATTAAGGGTTAATGGAAGAGTAGTGTTGATGATGGTATTGTAAATTTCCTTCTGCGATTTTCTCTTTAAGTGTTCTTCCAATGTATCTTTGAAGATCCAACTTTTCCATGACATCATCCATAATTAGAGGAGCAGAAGCAGTATACTTTGCCGCTCGATCAGCCTGCTCATTTCCCAATAAACCGATATGACTAGGTATTCATAACATTTTAATTTTTCCGCCGGGTGTTGTGATTACATACCTTAATTTGTTGACGGTGCTCCATCTCGAAGTCGAAGGATTCCGAATAGCTTCTAATACAGATAAGCTGTCGATAACAATGACGGTTTTGAGTTTTTTTTATGGGGTTCGCAGCGTGAAGAATAGCTTTGGTTTCGGTTGTGTAAGTTGAAGTACTTTCGTGAAATATTGAAAAGAACCTGTCCTGAAGCATCTACCACGGCACAAGCAGGTGCCAGATCAGAAGATTTTGAACCGTCTGTGTATAAAAGATTCCAACCGGTACTCTCCAGTACTTGGGTTTTTCAGCTATTAGATCGCTAAAGACGTAATTTGGAGTATCTTCTTTCTTGTGCATAGACAGCGAAATGTCAAAAGAGCAGTCTTTTGAACGCTTGGTGATAGACCGGTGTAAGGATGTTGATAGGCAAAACAAAACATGTAAGTTTTTTTGCAACGTAATTGGGAGAAAAAGCGCATTATATCCAAAAAAAGAAAACAACACCAGAAATATCTGGGAAAGTGAAACAGCGCAATTTGGGTAAAAGGAACAACGTTAACTCTCACTGCGGAGTTTATTTCACTCAAAATACATCACTGCACACTCCGACTGCATTCCATTTCATAATTTGACTGTTTATCATCTCTAAGTCTACAAAACTCAATCGGCGAAATAAGGTTTGGCCAAAAGGCCGCACTATCTGTCACGTGAGTGGGGACATTAAAATCTCTAGGGCCAGAGCTTATGCCCAAAAGAGAAGTGAGTATTGTTTGTTTGTCCAATCGAGAAACAATTCTTTGCTCATAATCGAACTCTGCCGAAATTTGTATTGTGATTACCCTAACTTAGAGATTTTTTTCGCCTCAAAAAAAAAAATTAATTTTATCACCTCCGACGCACCTGCGGCAAATTCTTTTGTCACCAATGCTTCACCTAACAATGTTTATAACGTTTATGTTCCATCCGAATTCTGTGAAATTTGTGGAATTGCTTTCATCCTCTCGGATTTCACTGAACTTGAAATTTGCTCAACTGACCCAAAAGCCTACTTAAATTCGGACCCTTACCTGCCTTCTGCAAAGTTTTGGAACTCATGCGCTTCCATAAATTAGTCTCCTCCTGTGGCGCAAGCCATGAATGCACCTCGAATTGTCAAATCGCAAACTAAAAAATGCATTAATTATAAAGATAGACTTTCATCTAATTCGAAAACTTGTCCTTCCTATAAAAAAACTGCAAAATCCAAAAAAGATGTAGTAGATCGTTTGAAGCCTCAAATATACACCTTCTCTCGAAATTTTTATGCTCACCCAAATAATAACTTTTCATTCTCTCTAGAAAGTTTCCTCAAGTTGCCTCCCCCGACTTTTCAGTCAACAGTCAAACGACCAAATACTGAGACTGCTGTCTGAGGCCCAATTATGAAAATGGTAAATCCTGAATTCACCATCTCCCCTCCCAATATAAAATTTTCAAATTCTGGGAGTGTGACACTCAACAGAGGCAATCATCCTTCCGATCACGAAATGGTTACTGATTTAATCAATTCTTCTAATATATTTTAAGCCTCTGAACGTATTCAAAATCTACGCAAGCCGTCCTCTAAAACAAATTTCATTATTAACTCTGCCACACGTTTATCTCGCGACCTTCACAAGAGTGTTCTTAACTAACGAACCCTTCGGGTCCTTCTGAAACTTTTCTCAAGTCGCAAGATTCATTTTCTCTTAAAAATTATAATGTGATAAGATAATCATAATGAATAAATAATGCTCGCAAAAATCAGCAACAACTCATCGCAACTATAAAGGTGCGATATATAGATCAGTTTTATTACGGCAGCCAAGGAGCTAAATGATATAAGCCCGGTAGTTATACATTAAGTCGAATACGCGGATAGGGGGTAACAACCTTTCCGTTATCACTATCTCTGAACGACTGACAGCACAGGAAAGATTAAGGGTTGGCACTTTTATTTTACTTGGTGTATCCCACAGGTTATTGGGCTTACTGTATGGACAGAAAATTTTGATCTACAGAAAGTGGAGACCGTGTGTAAAAGTCAGCAAGTAAAAATCAAGGGTAATATATAGAACATGGAAAAGTAAAAGGACGTTTACGACGAGAGTGAGGGATGTCTGAGTATTTGAGATTTCGAGTGACCTGCCGTATCGCTGTATTAGTCTTCGTTGTTAAGAGTTATTTAACAGCCTCTCAGTAAACAAATTTTCTAAATAGAAATAAAAGCAAGTAAATACGACATAGTAGGACAGAATTCACCTTTAAATACAATATATCACTGCGGTAAATGCATCTATTCATAAGACATCCTCTCGTAATAAGGCCTTATGTTGAAAGAGGGAGAAAAAGAAGGCCAAAGTTGTTTTAAATATATTCTGGAGATGGACTCCTAGAGCGTCCTGAGTTGCAGCGTGACCGGGGAGAAGTGTTACATTAGAGGGATTGGGAGAGGAAATATACGCTAATATTCATATTTTCAGGCCAGATCAAAACGCTACGCTTGTATTCATCGTAAGGTTTCGTCGCTTTGCGCATGATGTTATGAGCTCGTAGAACCTAGCAACAACCGCATTGACCGGGTCACGTCTTCATTATGTCCTACTCTAACGAGAAATTAATAGGGTCTTTCAAAGTCTAAAAGCTCGTTACGTAAGAAGTGAATTGCCACAAGGCACCAGATTATTTCCTTCGGACAAATACGGTTTTAGAATCTGTCGCGATAAGTATTGACTTCACACAGTGTAAACTTTGTTCATTTTACTACTCCCCGGTAATTCAAATTTGTAGTCTGAAAGTGTACATTCGTAGAGTTGTCTATTATCTCTTTTCAAAGAGGAGAAAATATATTTTGACAAAATATAATAAAATCATATTCAAAATTTCTTTTTGCATTTTTTAACATAAGTAAAGAAGAATTGGAAAACTTTGCGCGGCATGGTTAGTATAATACAAATTGTGTTTTAGGGAATTTCTTGGTAATTTGCTCGTGTCCTTATTTCACAAAAGGTGCGTAAGAAGCAGCCATCATCTGATCTTCTTCCAGAAAATGCATGCCAAGATAAAAACAGAATGATTGCCGTAGGCGCTTACGTGCGCCAGTGTATATGGAAACCTACCGTACGAAGGGGACGAGCAATATGTGAATTCGGTAGGCCGTCGTACAAGCCTTTGCCACCCATCGTTGGTGCAAAAGTGTTTGATTCCACGAAGAGAACAGCCCCGGCTTACTCATTTGGTCGCAAGACAGGTTCGCGACGTACTGGTTTTGATGACGGGCCGGCAAAATTTGACGTGTCCGGAATGTCTAATCGCGGCTTCTACAAAAAAGTAGGTATTGCTATGAAAAGTCGTCGAGTCGAGTTGAAGCCATTTCCTAATCCTGGCGTTGGGAACTATGTAGTGGACAGAGGTTTTGCTGTGACTACAAAAACCATACCGCGATATTCATTCGGCAAGAAGCCGCAGCAACTGAAACCTTTCATGACACCCGGTAGCCCAATCCCCATTCAAAATATCTAAAACACAAAAAATCTTCAATCTTTTTTTTATCATAAAAACAGCTCCTAACGTTTACAATCTGCCGCCTGTGGTGGGCACAGCGAAGGAGGGCAATAAAAAGGCCGCGCCAGCTTTCACTATGTTAGGTAGAGAGAAGCCACGCAAGCTAACATGTTTCATTTATCCGGGACCCGGAGATTATGAAGATAAATCTGTTTGTAAACGAAAGTGTCCGCCTAAGTACACAATGCGCCCACAAACTAAAGTACTTGATGACAGCATAAACAAACCCAGTCCAAATGCTCATTATGCTGAGCTGGTAAAGATAATTCCGCTGCTAAATCTAAAAATATTTCTCTTGAATTATGTTTTTTTATTTGCACCATTTTCAGTACCATAAACATAAGTCAGTCCCTGCCCCCTCTTTCTCTATTCATCATTCACCGTGTCTTGGTATACGTAAAGCTTATCCAATGCCTGACAGGAAAAATCTAATCAAATGCAATGTGTTGGAGTAAAAGCAAAAGCTATTTTGCCTAAAAGCATCGAAGATTGTCGGCATCTATTGTTGAGTAGTTTGGATATCTTTGCGTAGAAATTCTAGTCTTACTTTACTTTTGTGCTATGTTTCAATGTTTTTCTACACAAAACATACTCAAAAAGAATTATATTTGAAATATATGAAACTATTGTAGATCTGTATATGCGAAAAATTGTTCCTTTAATCGCGAATATCTTGTTTTAGATGAAGTCGCAAATCAAACAACAAATCCATATTTCCAAGGCGCAAAAGAACTTAAAGAGGTCCTACACCTCGCAAATTCGTTTAGAGTAATATATTTAGGATTACGAGAATATCTGAAAATTAGTTTAGAAAAAATGTTTTGAATAAAATATTACAAGTCGTAGAAATGCAATGCTGGAACAAAGTATATTTGCCACTTTTTAGTTCATAAAAAGAAAAGTACATTTATTATATAAATTTGAGGACCTCTTAAGGCTTTTTAAAATTCGCTTTGATAATGATTTTCAAAAGATCTTTCGATTTCCTTAAGGAACCCTAAGACATTTTGCGGTTTTAAGTTTCTAGAAATACAAAGGCTCGGAAGTATTAACAAGTTTTATCCTCAAGCAAATTGTCCCGTTACTCATATCAGTGCCATATCTAGCCTAATGTAACCGTCCCTGGTCAAAACTATTGGGAGATCGTTACATTCATGTAGCATCCAGCACGTTTGCTCTGAGGCAATTCAAATTATTCCAATCTAGTGAAAGTGCTTTTATGTCACGAGTATTGCCCACGAACTTGTTTTACTCTTTTTTGCATCCTCCTGTTTCAATCAGCTGACCAACGTTGTTACAAGTTTTTTTGCTTCCCATGCAACCAGAGAGCTCTATTAGTGGTTCCAACCTATGAAAACTCAGAAATAGATGCAAGCACTGAAAATAATAATAGTATTAGGGACTAGTGGAAGACCACTAGCGCAGCATAATGGAAATTAGAAAACGCAAATGTAAGATAAAAGAACCGCTCTGTTCTGGACTGTGCTGTTTATCTATTTCTTAAGTCTTGTGCCCCTGAATTACGTTGAGCTTATGGCATATGCTCTCCTTACGCATATTGTGCATAAAACCTATAAGGTGGAATAAAACCTTTTGATACTCACAGCGAAAAAAAGGGCTTGTTTTTATCTATAAGTGGGCGGTTAGTGAGGCTAAGATCACTTCGATTTTTCATTTGATGCTAAGCATTGATCTGCTCGCACAGCAAAGGGTTCGAAGCCCGAACGACATATTTATTTTTAACGGAAATTGTCTTTCCTGCACTTTCAACAATTTTAGTGTATTTTCTTATCGTAATAATAATTGACAACACGACAATTAAGCTTCGTTGGATTGAGGATATTGTTAATTATTGTATAAAAACTATGCTATGTCGTGTTATAAAGTTACTACATAAAATTAACCGCTTTCATGCAATCACACCATTTGCTGTTCGTTAAATTTGATTGAATATTCGTTGAAACTGAAATTTAGTTAACAATTTAACTTATCAACACTTTATACGATTTGACGGAAAAAGACAAAATTTTTTTTCTAATAATCGAAAATCGAAATAAAGAAAAATGATGTTAAAAGCTTTCATATTTGCTCTCTTAGCTTTGACCTTATTAAAAACCATTTTAGCCTGCGTAAGTTTATCATTGCTTGCAAAACTTTAAAGCCATGCGAACAACATTGCATTCTTTTAATTCTTCATTTTTTAAGAACGGTTACAAAGTGAAACTATTGAAAGCTGAGAACTGTGCTGGTGACGATGCTGTAATAAAAATTGGAGAAAATTTTAACATAAAATTGAATAAAAAGTGCGAATTAATTCCGAAGGGATGTGTAGCGTACAAGGCTTTCAATAGCGCCTTAGCTCGGTACAAAGTTAAAAAAGATGGTGTTTTGGTTAAAGATGACATGACTGATTTATGCTCTAAGGTTCTAGAAGCCACCGCGGAATATAAAGAAATGCTAAGCGTTTACGGAGCACCTAACAAATGTCCAGTAGAGGAGGTTCGTATTTTGGAAAAGTTAAAATAAAAAAAATAAATAAATAATTATGCAATATTTGCTTGTGTTTAAGGAAACTATTTGTAACGAGGACAAAAAACTTAATTTGTCCAAATATAAGAGTCTTTTAAATATCGCTCGGGGTCGTATAAGCATCAATTCCACTGTAGAGCATGATACGGTAGGACTTAACATCTAATATTTTTAACTGCAGGATATTGATAATTTTTTTTTTAAATTTATTTTTAAGGGAAAATCATGTTTACATTTGGATATGGAATTTACTAAAAAATAAATAAACTATTATAACAATAAACTTTTCTCCTGTGTTATCAGATACGTTCTTAATAAAGTAACGAACAAATGAACTTCACAAAGCAACACAAAAACAAGTTTACGTCATCGAATTTTCTTTTTGAAGGAAAACCTGGTTATTATTTTTTTATTAGGCGCAGTTTGGTACAGAATAGTAGGAATCCCTCTTCAAAGCATTTTATTGGATAGTAACTCTAAATCTGAATTCAGGAGGCGAGGCAAGGAGCCGTCGCATATTTCTTTAACAGCATTCTGGTGTTGGTTTAGTGAATACACCCAACTAATCAGTGAACTGTTACCAAGAGAAAAAAGAATCGCCTGACAGTTGATTATTCAAGCGTATTAAAAATAGAGCTCGCTACAGAAGAACAACGCTTTCTCATTCTTGAACACTGAATTATGGAACAACAACCAACAGTCGTCATCCCAACAAGATAATCGTATTTATTTATGCCCAAGTTACACGGTATGATTGTGGTTTGAGCAAGACTCTCTGTATAAATTAAGGCCTCCGATTTTTATCATAGTTTGATCCGCAGACAGTTTTCTTGAAGTATCTGTAGATGTTTAGATTTTTAATCATGAACAGTCCCAGTAATCCATTACGGAACGCAAATGGTGGATTCACTTTAACTTTTTCTAAACTTCTTGAAGCCGCATTGCAGGAAGCTGTTCTAAAGAAAGCATTAATAATCGTCTTTCATTGAGCTAACTATCTCTTTAATAAATTGATTCCAGATAGCAATTCGAATCCGGTAATTTACCTTAATTCACGGATAGATGAGTGGTTATTGTAAAATTGAAATTTGTTTTAGGACTTATTGTAAATTGATCTTCCATAAATATCATCTCGCATGCATCATACTTCTGTGGCTTGCATGCCAATTGCATTTAAATTCTATTACTTTAATTTTTTAATACTAATGAATAAAATATAAAAAACCTTTTTAGATGAACTTTCAAACAAAGTCTTTCAAAATGTCATGTGTCAGTTCACAAGTCACAGGTTGTTTTACTGATGCTGCTTTCTACTGCCGAGTTGTGTTTGGATCGTAGTAACGAACGTATGTGCCAACCCGGTATCCACTTTGAACGTATCTTTGTCGTGGACAATTGTTGATGCAAACTGGCGACTGGGCTGCCGTTTAATATCTTTAGAATTTCAGCTATATCACGCAACTTTACTTTCGCAGTTCCAAAAGAATTTCGTGTAATTTTTTTCTGTTTTAGAAGAGTTCTCGAATTCAGATGACTAGAGCGATGAGGACCATCAGTGTCCCTGTTTAAAATCATCAAATCATAGACGAGTTGTTACCCTCGACGGAGAAGGGATGGCGTATCAGTCTACAAGTCAACAGAGAGAGTATTTTTCCCCATTAAAAAGCGAGGCCCAATAAATACAGGAGATTCGGATCTTTCCACTGGTTTGAAAATGACAAAAATAACGCATTTCATTTAAAGGCTGATAGAGAGCAGACAGAGCTTTCTTGCTGTTACATTTATTAGATGAGACGTTTTACATTAATCAAATATTTGACACCAATTGAAAAACGCGTCGTACACTTAATAAAAAATGACCAATCTATCTATCCACCTCTTGAAATGGCGGCTTTAATAGTAAACATCTAAAGCTTTTTAACACTTTCTCTTCAGGTTTAGTTCAAATATACGGAAGTCAAATCCGTAAACTTCACCGACCGAGAAAAAGGGCTCTTTCGTAAGTAACAGTTTTTAAACATGTGAATTTGTTTGTTTAGAACTTTACAAATTTAGAGGATTACGAGGTAGTTTCCCTTAATAAAAGGCCGCATTTGAAGACCAGGTGTAGTTAAATCAGAATTTGTGCGGCGGGACCTATGCGATTTTTATTTACGCGATTGGTTTTATGAGAGTTATTTGGTTTCGCTTTGTGAATATGTACAGTGATAAGCAGAGATAACAGAAGGGCGAAAATATTTGCCTTTTAGACTATGACATCGTATTAAATTTTGTACATTTTGAAAATATCTTAATGTTTAAAACAAGAAAAAATACCTTTACATGGGAAGTGGTCGAAAAAATCAACTGATCTAAACCATTTTCAATACCGTTCATCCTTGCGTCATGACTCGTCATAAAAATGTCTAAAAAATTTGCAGAAAATTAATCACAAAGTGATCCCGAATCAGTAAAAGGTGGGTCTATACCAAGTCTGTTTTGTTGGGAAAGCTTTGTTCCGCTATTCCGTAGAAGCTTGACATAGTTTCTAAGACAGACTTTTCTGTACGGTCCACCATTGTGAAAAACCGCTTCTTTCACCTATTTATCAAGTTTCTGAATATTTTATTGCCGTTTTTTTCCTCCAATACCCATCCATCGCACAAACATATGTTTAGCTGTATAAAAGCATATGGTGTTTTGCATATGGTATTTTGTGCAATCGCCTTCCAGGTGCTGACAAACTGCGTATTATTGATTTAATATAAAATGTATACGATACACGGCAAATATGCAAAGCATGTTTTTTTTTTTGTAGTAGCGAGCTGGAAGTGCGTATTAAAATATTCGCCCCATTGGTGCGTAATAATGGTCGTGATACCTCCTACTATTTTTAGTTTATTTGATTTGGTTTTTTTTCTAGTGAATACTTTGCTCACTGAATTTTTTCCTTATATATAACCGAGTTGTTTAACGGCTTTAATCATTCCCACAAATCCATCTACAAGTTCTTTGCATGCAGGTAAAATCATTTGCTCTGGCAAATCAAAGCCGAATTCACCATTATCAGGTAATTCGATAGTGAAAGCTATTGGTATACCTTTCACCGCATAAGCCCAGTCTTTGCTTCCACCAGAGAATTTGCCTGCATTTAGAGGAAATTGGAAGCAATTAATGCCTTTCAATTGCTGTAAAATATTATTATTGTTTACCTAATGTGTTGGCACTTGTGCCGAAAGTGTATTCGGTCCCGTTGCGCTTGTATAAGGCTTGAATGAAGGCTTCGGCTACGAACTTCATTTCCTTGTAATTCCGGGGAAGATCTTCGGTGTGGCTCCACGGTGAAAGTACTAATTGTGCAGCCGAATGTAGAGCAATATAAATTTTAATAGAACCTTCTGGTATATTCTGATTAATAAACTTTACGAATTGTTCAATTTCTGGTTCGGACTCTGGGTGGGGGCCAGGATACACCATCGAGCAAGGATCGGTATTATCTCCGACTTCTTTAATAATATTTATGCAATTAAAGACAAATTTTGTCGAAATTGAAATAATAAGGGAATGTTTACCTCCCCATTGATAATCGAAATTACGATTTAGGTCGGTACCAAAACAATTGGGACTTGATGGCTTTCTTGATTTTCGCCACATTCGATCCTAGAAATGCAACAAGGAGCACGTGTGTTATAAATATTTATCCATAATTTATTTACCTTTTCGTGCGCATAAACAAAACCGTCCACATTTAATACCGGTATTATCCACCAGTCGACACTTTCCGCCATCTTACGTACACTAGGATTAGTGGAAAATAATAATTCTTTAATTAAGTAAGTGACAGCAGCTGATGTTATCCACTCTCTAGCGTGAATATTCGATTCAATGAAAATTGCTTTTTTGCCGCTTTTAAACGAAAGTTTAATGCCCCTTATTAAGCGGCCTTCGTACGAACGACCGACATCAAAGCCCTTAACTACCTTTGGGAATTTTTGAATAATTTGATCTAACCAATAATAAATTTCATTCAGCGTATGATAGGTGATCCAATCCAAAGGTCGATTTCCAACTTTTTTTCGAGAAAGCTTCCTTCTGTCTGGAAAGAAAGTTGATTTGTCAAATACGCCCTCAGTATATTTCCCTATATTCACTTGTGTTTACACATTGTTCCTGTATTTTTGGACTTGGGATTTCCCGGTGCGATATGAACGTACCGTGGCAGCATGATTTTTTCCCAAATTTAAAGATATATTTAAAAACGGAAAACACACCATAGGCTAGTTTTACGCAGCATTTGTGTGGTCTTGGCTTTTAAATTGTTTTCATTTTTTTTGGATTTTACTGTTTATATAAGAAATTTCGAATATCAGAATTAAGAAAACGGATTTGAATGAAAATTTATGAAAACTCAAAACTCAAAGGCAACTAAACGGTAAGCATCAATGAGTTTCATTTCAAAACATTGGAACTTGGAATATGTGATCGTATATTGCATATATTTCAATAGATCCTCTACACCCTACACAACTTGTGGTACAGGATATGTTAATTTGTGCGGTCGTATCTAAGATGCAGAAGATCTTAAGATAGTGCCACTGTTCATTATACCGATCGAGTCGGAGTCATTTTCTGAACCATTCAAAACCTGTCTGTCCATTTGCCCGTCTGATATCCATCTATGTAATATTGCGTTCAACCTACAGGTCGTAATTTTTGAGAGAAGTTAGTGAATAGTGGAAATAGTTTGGATCATGGTAAAGCTGACGGCCGCATTTGGACTCAACCCAAATAAAACCATCACTAAGTAAAATTACAAACAATGTCTGCTGTGAATTGTGGGAAAAAAGTGCGTAATATGCCAAAACTGATTTTATTGGGAATACTACATTCCGCGTTATCAGCAGACATTAATTCTTCCGATTAAACAGGGTTTCAATTAACAACTTTTTACTTGCTTGACCGGCTCTTCGATTGTTATGAAGTTATCTAAGCGTGGGTTTTTTTCTGAATGAACCCAAGAAACAAGAAATTTTTCAAGAAGAAATCCGAAAATTGCTTGGGAAAAGGGAAAGCAGCCAATGCTTTGATTAATCTCTTCGACAGACCGAGCTGATTTATACTCCCAATAACTCGTTACGAGAGAATTCACAAGACAAGATAAATGTTGAAAATCAGCACATAAACACAGCGCATAAAACTATTTTTATGCCACGCAAATGTCACATCAGAGGCATTAGAAAATTTGACGGGGCAAAAAGCGAGAGATTGCGTTGTAGCAATAAATGAAACCATATCACATTTTCGTTTCTATTACTTTACGTATTTTCGCTTAGTCAATTTTTATTCCTATGAAACATTTTAAATGTTTTTTTTAAATATCGATTAGAAATTAGTTTACTGTAATTTATTTAGTACATATTTTTGCCGATCAATTTGTCTTTAAATGTAGCCAAGTTTCTTCACGGCTCCAATCATTCCAACAAAGCCGTCCAATACTTCTCTGCCGATAGGCAAAATTCTTTTATTTGGTAACGCAAAACGGGATTTTGTGCCTCTACCAGGTAATTCTATGGTGAAAGTTAATGGTATTCCTTTTACAGCGTAAGCCCAATCTTTACTTCCGCCGGAGAATTTCTCTGTATTTTAAAAAGTTACGTGATCAATTCATATAATAAACAAATTATTTAACATACGCAATATTGTAGCACTGCTACCGCATTTATATTGAGTGCCGTAACGAACAGCCAAAGCTTCAGTGAAAGCTTTCGCAACAGACATCATTTCCTTGTAGTTTTTTGGAGGTGTTCTTGTATGGGTCCACGGGCAAAGTATACATTGGGCGGCTGCATGCAGAGCCACATACATCACAATACTACCATTTGGTATTCCCTTATTGATGAAGTCTACCAATTGCCTAGTTTCTGGCTCAGATTCAGGATGAGGACCAGGGTATAGTACTGAAGAGGGACCAGCCTTTCTCCCTTGAATGATTAATGATATTTGAAACGTTACAGAGGATAAAGTACAAAATCACCCACATCCCCATCGATAACTGAAGTTACGATTTAAATCGATGCCGACACTTTTGTCATTCACAGGTCTCCTCGACTTCCGCCACGTTCGGTCCTACAAAAACAAAAGTTATTACTCAGAGATAATATGTAATCTTTTTTAACCTTCTCGTGTGAATAATCAAACCCGTCTACATTTAATACCGGTACAATGTACCAGTCAAGACTTTCGGCCATTTTGCGTACATCAGGCTTATTGGAAAGCAATAATTCTTTAATTATATAAGTGGCAGTGGCTGACGTTATCCATTCCCTCGCGTGGATATTCGATTCAATGAAAATTGCTTTTTTGCCGCGTTTAAAGGAAATTTTAATGCCCCTTATTAAACGACCTTCATACGAACGACCGATGTGAAAGCTACTAACTACTTTGGGGTTTTGTTCTATAATTGAATCCAACCAAGTGTAAATTTCAACCAGTGTAGGATAAAACGTCCAGTCAATATCTTTCTGAGCAATATTACGTCTATCTAGAAAATGTTTGACGAATAAAAGCCAAAGCCTTTTTAAATAATTAATTACTCACATCATGAATAAGTTTTCTTCCATCGGGGATGGATTGATGCACGGCATGCAGTCTTTGATCCGTCGTAACACTTTCTTGATGTTCGGCATGATTTTTTCATAAAAATTAAATTAACTTTATTACAATAACAAAGCGCACATTATTGTTCTTATGATGGTTGCGTTAAATCAGTTTAATTTTTCAAATATTTTCATCTTTTTTGGAATTTTACTATTTGTTCATTTATTTTTCGAACTATCGGTAGATGTGGAATTTTTAGATTTTATTGATTGCCCATGTAGAGAACAAAAATCAAAAAAATGACTTTGGATAACAAATAACTGAATTTTGTTAAGCCAACAGTTGTTAAAACCAATAATTGATTGGCAACGCCAGCCATTGGAGACAGATGACAACGTATTTAGAAAGTATATGAAAGTGAACATAACACCGTAATTCATTTCTGCGCTAGTCACGACAATGGTTCTAGCAAGGCTAGCCCTAATTTCCTTATTAGTATACAAAGCACCATAATAAGTTGGCCAACAACGACGGCATAGGATACGACGCGAGGATACTTGCTTAGGAGCAATAAGATATGATAAATGGACATTGTCTTAGACGAACAAGCTAAGTGAAAAGCATTGAAGAATTTGGAGAATTGTAAATGAAATGGACTTTCGACAAGCTCTGACTTTAGTTTTGCGCTGAACCAAAAAAGAGCTTGAAACCGTTTAGAGGAATGTCACTACAAATATAAATGAAACGGTTAATACGTTTTGTAAACGGACGCTGGGTGTTAGGAGCGCATAGACATAACTTAGGTTCTTTCGAAAAGCCTTTGAGTACTAAAGATATGAAATATTTCTTACCAAAGAATTTGGCAAACTCTATAAATAAAATTCTTATTATTAAAGCCAACTGTCTTCAAACACAGTTGAGGCAATAATTTGTTTTAAATTATACCCTAATTCTGTTATCAATACCGTTAAGGCCGTTCTTGCGTAAGTTCTGCAAATAGTAAATTTGTTCTTGTGATTATTATTCTTCTCTTGCTGTATAACCTTTACAATGTTTGTTGAAAATAGTTCGTCTTAAGTTTCAATCATTGGCTTGGATTATTATTTTTTTTTTTGGAAAATTTTATTTACTACGGCGCATCAAGTCAACAATTAGTAGAACGATTGGTGTCGATCGCTGTCTCTAGCTAAAAGTCTCTCTTTATTATTAGTGAAAATTTTTTGTGCTTGTTTCGTTTTGCTGCCATAGTACTTATCTTGTGAATTACTAATTTTCTGTGCATACTCTTGGGCGCATTCATTGTCGTCCGCAAGAAAAATGTTGCAGTAAACTCTTGCACACGAAACGTACTGTAAGATGGGAAATTCCAAATAAGAAATTGTTTTTCAACATCTTTGTATTACATCTAAACCTTGATGCCAATCTCTCCAGGAATTTTTCATGGTCGGGGAAACTAATGGTCTGGGATGGTTGAATTTGCATTTATTGAAAGCAATTCTGCCTTATTTTTTTTAATAAATGTATGTAAAGGGAAGAATATTGAAATACAACTTTTCTACTAATTTTCTCTTGAATTCGATAATAAATTGTTATGGAAGTACATATCGCCACAGAGACATTTAGTAAACTCCACAAAATTAACCCTTCGAATTTATTATTATGAAGTTTCCCAAACGTTTTTAGAGTTAAGCAGAAGTGCCACACAATGAACTGACAAAGCAAACTTTTCCTAAAGAAGGAGAAACCAACCACTTCCTCAACAATATGCTTCAATTTGAAGTAGGCGTTTGGGGAGTCAATCCCAAAATTGAACGATCAATCTTCGATAAAAAAAATTTAACTTAAAAAATTAATTAAGAAAGAAAACCAAAAAAATTTCTAAATTATTTTAATGTATCTTATTGATGCAGAAAGTATGACTGCGTATATGCATACAAAGCGCAATCAAAACAAGAACAGACGTGTCTTGCGTCAATTGGCGAGTCCTTATATCAGAGCTAAGTTATTGTGCCAATTATAAGTTTTGTAATCAACCGGGCGGCTGCCGCCTAGAGAAATTCGAGGAAAAACCTATATACGGCCATACCAATCATCGAACAAGGGTCTAAGGCTTAGCGCAAGCATTGTTAAACAAGAGCGGATATCTTTTTTTCTTTTTAACTTACTACCAAATCGTAAAAGTCAACCCAAAACTTGAAGTTAGGATATCAGGTGAATTTTGACTTTGAATAGTACGAATAATGGTTTGGGACCATTATCGCAAAACAACACAAAACGGATTGTGTTAAAAAGATCAAAAAGGCGAAAAGTATTTCATTGACTTGACAAACTGAAATGCGTAGAAAATGGACTAAAGCGCAAGGCGACCACTTTCCTTCTTAGAATCTTACATATTGCTAATCGAAATCATAAATCGCAGTTCTTATTTTTTTGTTGTTTTGCTAACTTTTGTTTGCATGTGTTCGAAGTTGTCTTTACAATAATTAGTTTAGAAAATGGCCTGCTGTAGTCTGCTACAATTTATTTCTTGGCATTTCCACTCAATCAGCTCCCCTTTAAATATAATGAAGTTTCTTCACAGCCTCAACCATTCCCGCAAATCCACCCAAAAGCTCTTCGCTTACGGGTAAAATCATTTCTTCTGCTGATCGAAAACGAGATTTTTTATCTTGATCTTTATCAGGTAATTCAATAGTGAAGCATATTGGCACATATTTGTCGACCTCCACGAAACTTTTCCTTTCATCGGTGAAAATGGCTATATATTAGAAAACTTTCAGTCACAATTTGGCAAACATTAAGTATATTAAGAGTCAAGCGTACTTAGTGCCTTAGCAATGGTTTCGAGGTTCCATTGAGAACGCAAAGTTGTATATACAGCTTCAGTAAATGATTTGGCCACGAACATCATTTGCTGGTAGTTATCAGGAACATATGATTTATGGATCCAAGGCTTAGTTGCTTTCTCCGTAGCCTCACCTAGCGCTATATAAACTTTAACAGTATCATCTGGTATGCAGTTTCTAATATAGTTAACCCCCGAATTAATTCCGAGGTCAGCTTCCGATAAGACAACAGCGTCTGATAATGGGTCAGCATAGAATGTGTGCTTGCCTGAATCAGATTCATAGTTAAGATCAGCTTTTCCTGCAATATTTTTTAATATCTAAAATGTGGTAAACAAAACCACTTACTTCTACACGGAGCTATTGAATTGAAATCGTCGACGTCTACAGATCTTGACTTGCGAAATCTTACTTTCTACGAGCGACAAGAAAATACTGTAAAGACAAAACCCCACTCACGACATTAATAAATTAATTGTTTACCTTTCCCTGCGAATAAACAAAATCGTCTACATTTAATACCGGTACGATGTACCAGTCGAGACTCTCGGCCATTTCGCGTATATGCTTTTTTTTGGAAAACAACAGCTCGTTAAGTATGTAAGTGACAGTAGCCGACGCTAACCATTCTTTACCATGAATGTTCGATTCAATAAAAATTGCTTTTTTGTGAGGTTTAAAAGAGATCTTAATGCCCCTGATCAAACGCCCATCAAACGAACGGCCAATGTCGAAACCCGAAGCAACCTTGGGAAATTCTTTTATAATTGAATCTAACCAGGTATAAATTTCAACCAATGTGGGAAAGAAAGTCCAGTCAAGAGACCGCACGGGGAGATTTCGTCTATCTAGAAAATAGTTGGCTTTAAAAGAAATTGAAAGCAATAAACTTTATTGAGTATTCACATTATAAATAAATTTTCTTCCGAATGCGATATTCCAGTTGGCATACAGTCTTTCCGCCGTATGATTTTTTTAAAGTCGGCCATGATCTTTGCCGCATTTATTATTAAATTGTAACAATGAAGTGCGTATTGGTTTTATTCAATTAACTGAGCAGTTTTGATTCTTCAAAATGGTTCATTTTACTGCGAAGCAAAACAACAAAATTTTTTTTTTTTTTTTTTAAATTATTGGTCACATATTTTAAATAAGAAAACTAAAAAAAAAGATTCTGTATGATAATTTTTATTCACTCAAAAACGAATGACAACTAAACGAAAGACTTTTGGATTAAAAAATATATAAAAAATATTTTTTAAAATAAGCTTTTATTTAAGTAAACTAAAGTAATATACTTTCCCTCAGTCAATTTTAGATGACTATACATAAAAGCTTCGGAAGCTTTTAGCTGTAAAATGTAAGAAATTTGTTTTTTCCACTCGATGCAAAAATTTCTTCGAATAAAACTGATGATCATAAACTTTGGTAAAAGTCATTTCCATGAAATTGAAAAAAATTCCTTTAATTAAAATCAAAGCTTTTGTTATTACATTAAATTAATTACATACTGTAAAAAGAATACAGTGGGCCACCAGTACCCTAGCTCGACAGTGGTCGAAAAAATAGTCCGATCTGAACACCACTCCCCTAGTTCGAGCCAAAAAAAAGAAGGCGGGCAAACAGATAAATACACGTAAATCAAATCAGAAACTGATTTTGAATCCATCGGTTTAATAAAAGATGAGTCTATCTCAAGCTCTTCTGAGTAATGCATAAATCCCTACAAAGTTAATATACAATATAATATACCACAAGTTTTGTAGGTTATAAGAAAAATACATCCACCAAACTCTCTTTTGTATACAGAAACTGCATTCTTTAGAAATCCGTGCAAGAAAAAGAGATGGTGTGAACAATACATACGACATATGCTAAATTTGACGATATGTTCAACAACTTTAAAAAATCGTGTAAGATTAAAAAGCTGTGCATACTTTTTCTAAAAACCGTGCAAAAAAAAAATAATGAAATTCACATTACATATTCATAAATCAAAAACCCATTTTGTTACAAGAAATAAATTAAAATTTGTGTATAGTGAAAATTCAGTCCGTAGTTACATACAACACACAAAAATTGAAGTTGAAATCAGGAGTAAAAATCAATTTTCAAGCTATTTATCGCTACTTAATAACAAGCGTGCACATTTGTTACAAACTGGATCAAAAATGCTGTGATCAGATCATTTGTCGGGTATGTCTCAAATGAAGAATTTCATTTGTTAATAACGGCCAAGTTCCAGTAGAACAAGCCACTAGCACTTGTGTGGGCGTAAACCGACTGACATCTGAACCCAATATTCCCCCAATTGTATTTCGTTGCCGTGCACATAAATTTCTGTGAGACACTGAATTGCTTGGAATTAAAAAAAATGTTTTTTTTTTTTTTGGATCCATGTTAGAACAGAAAATTCATGTAAAAAAGTGTATTTGCTCTCATTGGTGAATCAAGGCATTTCAAAGTTGTGTAAAACAAGATCGTGCAAAAAAGAATTTGGTCTTATAAACATGTCAAAAAGTTGGGCTCGAATAGGGTCTACCATGTCCGTTATACTGTTGGGCAGTTCCGCATCTTCATAAGGTTCTTCTTACTTCTTTCTTTCTTTACCAGCCCTTCGCCTTCTTTTAGACTTCTCAGAAGACTTTAACTCACAAGTAACAGTGGAGTGCTTTTGTCCTTTTCGTAGTAAAATTTACCCAAAAATATAGCGAGTTTTTCCACAAATTTCGCTCACCTCCACACTAACGTGACGTGTGACTCGAATGACGAAATGCATTACAGATCGTTTTAATTAGTATTAACGTGACGCAATCTTTAGGTTATCCACAATACGAGAATTCTACAAATCCTCCAATATGCCTCATAGGTTCATTGATAAATCTAGAAATTGCTACTGCAGGTACCTTTTCTAAAGTTTTCTTCGTCAATTTTTTTAAAACAATTTTGCCCCTCTTTAGCATTGTTGCTCGATGCCGTAGAAAATGGTCAAAGACTTTTAGTAAGTTTAAATCGCAAATTAGCATCTTTTCAATGCGCTCTAGCCTGTTTGCACGAAGGAGACAAGCTAAATAGGCGCTTATTGAAGAACTTACACGTACTGATTTACTTGGTATACCTTATGCAATACTGGTAGAGAAAGTTTCGTTAAAAACAGGATTTTTGAAACTTCGAAACCGCGATAGTTCTTTGGCAGAGACGATTCGCATAAGTGATATTGAAATTTATTTATTTGGGATTTTCGCATAAAATCACATAAATATTGACGTACATTAAAGCCTGCAACCTTGCCTACAAAGACTACGAATTCAAGACCCACAGTACATTGCAATCGAGCTAATCTATCCGTTATTTATTTCATTGCTAACAAAACTCAAGAGCTTGAGTTGCACCAGTGTGGATATCTGAGAAAGCCAATTACAAGTAAGACCAGCCTTCTCTTCGAGTATAGCAGAAAATATTGCTAGCAAACAATCAATAGTAAATGCTTTAGGGCCAATAACAGCAGATGTTTTCTCGAACACTTGTTCAATTTCTTTTAATATAGTTTGAAGTAAATACTAGTATGTAGAATACTATATACTAGTATATAGAATACTAGTATATAGAAGTACATAATAGCTTCAATATATATATAAAATAGCTTTATTAATATATATAAATATATATATATATATATATATATATATAAGAAATTGTGATTCTTTTTAATGTTCTCCTGATTGTTTCCGATTCTCCTTCGTTGACCTGGTCGCTTTTGCCCTTCTATCACAACACCATATAAATACATGCTGCAACTGTCTAATTTATTTCGCGAATGCTCTGCCCGCAAAGTAACCAAAAGCTCACCCAGGTCTTTAAAGTGACCTGAGTCATTTAGATTCGATTGCCATATAAGTGGCATAAAGATGAAGGAATCTGGGAACTGGAGAACTAGCATTCCGCACTAAATGAGCAGCTCTATCATATTCACGTACATCAAAGTAACTTTTAGCCAGAAAGTAATTATCAACGTCCGCAAGACCGTGGCACATTCCAGCTAACCATTTGACGCTGTACACCAAAACAACGTTTCTGACATTCCACTATACCCTGTCTTAACTCTCTTTTAGCGTCGAGTACGTTAAAGAAGTCATTCTCCATTACTTAACAAGTTTTAAATCTCTAGGAAAAAGCTGGAAAAAGGAAAATAATTAATTCATAATTATAAAGAGCGAGTTATTAAGCACTGCTTACGCGAAAACCGAACTGTCATGTTGATCACCCCATATTAAAATTTCCGCTATACTTCTAATCGTTGTTAATAAATTGAATAAATCGATTATATTTAGTAAGGCGTGGCGATGAATCGCCCACGCAGCCTAGGCCTACATATAGAATGAGTTAAACATTTTATGTAAAAATATTAGGAGTTAAGTGTTTTGGGAAATACGCGAACTAAACTTATTTAATTTTTATTAATCAATCTATAAGCGTGAAAGGTCGTTTTGCTTTCGGCTCTGAAGTTATGGAAGCTATCACTTTAGTGATTAGTGTTGCTCGTCTCAATATGTTTACCACAACCAAAATAAAACTAAGAATATTTCAATGCAAAATAATGCATTACTACGCACAATCTATTTTGAAGATGGGCGAGTGCGTTCCAATAAAACACTAGATCGAAAACGAAAATGTGTGCGAGTAAGCTTGTGTATGTATGTATGAAAGCTTTCAAGTTCGTAACAACCAATTATAAAACCAGGAAAGGAATTCTTTCAATAAAAAGTTCAATTTTTCATAAGTGGTTATCCGCCTGTTCCTTAACGTGCCATTTATGATATCTTCGCGTACTAGTAAAGCTAAAGAGTGCGCACTCTATTGCTATTCATCCTCTTTGGGTACATACTCGTTGACTTCGGTAAATCATTTTAACAAATTATCACGTACGCTAACCAATCGTAGCAAAAGTAAATGAGTAAATTTTAACATTGGAATTGTTAACAGAAAATGTTAATTGTTCTATAGTAATTGTATCTACAGCGAGAGCGCTGCGTGAACAATAAACAGCTGGCAAAACTTTGGTTTGCGCCAGAAAACATTAGTAGTAGTAGTGTTGTTGAAACTGTTAGTTGCTTCTGCTTATATTGAAGGAAATCTCCTCTGAGAGCAAAGTAAAATTCTACAATAACAAGTAGAGTATTCGGCTGGCGCCGAATCTCACATACCCACCGCTTTAGCATCCCCAGCTTTTATTTAGGCCAATGAGAAAGAAGCCCTCGCTAAAAGGAATTGTAAAGAAAAAATTTATCCACCATGCACAGCGTCCACCATAATTAATGTAGAACTAACGCCTCTCAGACAGATATATCTTCTTTTGAGTAATGTACAAAATAATTTAAAACATTTCGTCTTGTTTACCTCACGGTTAAAAGGCATATTATAGCTTCGTGTGAGCATGGCCGATTTTTCTCATTTTTGGCCCATAAGTAGTAGAGTAGTCTGTAAAGTAAACGTAAAAAAATTCCAGCCTTCTACTTTTATAATTTTTTGAGTAATGAGCAAAACCCAAAAATTGTTGCTTAGCGAGGTGGAGTTGCCTTCAGCTTACGCTTTACTGCGGCCGTGTTCTCTGGCCAATTTGGTCCGTTTTGAATGTCGACCTGGGTGCAGAAACTTCCGATGCTTCTACCAAATTTGAAGCCGATATCTTTGTTTTGTGTCAATAGCACGCAACGCATAGACACACAGTTACTTAGACGGACAGCCATGACTTAATCAATTCAGATTTTCACGCTCTTCAAAAATATATAGGCGCTTTGGTATCTATGAAGTTTCCCTTTGAGTGTTGCAGGCATTTTGATAACAGGAATATACCCTTCATCTTTAGCTAATCAAGCTAACATGTCTTCGGTGGTTTGCCATTGTTGTTGCGCCTACAGTCTCAGTCGATTCAGTTTGCTTTTCGCTTTACAAACATAAACATGAAATTAAGAAGCGGGTGATCGCGTTATTATTCAAACAAAATGATAGCAATAACACAAACCGACGAAAAATTTCGAGCAATTTTCTCGTACGAGAGAGTGCATGAATAAATAAACCGTGAAATAACGTAAATAATGCTAAATAAAATATAAAAAATAATAATAATACCATATATATAAATAATGCTTTCTTTAACCCATTCAACCGGTCGTAACGTAACGTTAAGAACGTATGACATTGAATAAGCGTGTAATTAAGCGGTTTTTTTTTTTTTATTTTGAAATCAAACAAAACCCAACTGTCAGTAATAACTGAATTTGAAAAATACCAAAAACGGAATAAGAAAAAGTAGTTGAAACAAAACGTATGTCAGTTCGTTTTGGAAGAAGAGCACAAAAGAACGAGTAGTAGAGGAGAGTCATTAAAACCAATAACAACGATAAGCGAAAAGCAGCTTTTAATGGTCATTGGCTTCATTTTTGGTAACGCGAATAAAGGTTAATATCTCTACTTTTGCTTGTTTGTTATGTTACTGAGAAATTACAAAAGAATTCCGTGAGGTATAGAAAATAAAATGAAAAAAGAGAAAATTTCGTAATAAAATATTTAAAAAAATAAATTTAAATAGAAAAAAGCAACGATCTCAGATAAGACAACAAGTGTTTCAATACAAGATCACTGCAAGCGTAAACTAATCATTAACAAATGATTGAATGTGAAAACAGCGAGAAATATAATAAGTATCTGTTAGTGCTTTGAAAGCGTTAACTCATACGCATACATGGATGATATTCGTTTGATAATGCGATATTGTTAGAATTGATTGGCCCGAATGCAAGGTGATGTAAAAAACTCAGTTCGCACTGATCAAGTTTAAAGCCACAAACAAAACGACAAAAGCGGTAGCAGCACGAACAACGCGAAAGTTAAATGCATGAATGAATCATCGCTTTTTAATAGTATTTGAGAAGTGATTTTGTTTTTTTTTTTGTTTTTTTTTTTTAATTCATTGAAAATCAAACAAAAGCAACAAAATATTCATGTACAATACTTTGGTTAAATATTAAAAAAAAGAGGAAAATTAATAATCAAAAAAGAAAAAAAAAAAACAAATGCAAATCAGTTAGTCATGGATTTTAATAGGAACTAATGTAGATTTAAATAGTAAGTAAACTTTTGTTAAATATAATTTCATTATTAGCACCAGAGTAAGAAAAGTTAATTATTTTTCTGTTAAATATTGAAAAAGAGAAGACAAGTTATCGTTAATTTCTTCACTCTCTTCCACTCTTCAAAAAGTTATATGATTCTTATGGCGAATATGTCGAGCCAAGAGGCTCATACAATGTCCCCTATTCACGTAAAACGGTGACAAATCAGAAAGAAGCAAGAAAGGGGAAAAAGATAGAAAGGTAGCGCCCGCAACCTAATGGCTTTGTGCCCAATCAATAAGTGTTATGACTTTATCGGCCAAGCGATCACGAAAGCTGCGACTCTACCGCACGTAGGCGCCATATTACTATCTGCTTTTTTCAAATTGGCTTGATATTGGTTTTATTTTGCTTTAATGTTCAACTTATCAAAGTTCGCCAAACCAAAGTTTGCATATTATACAAATTTAAAAATAAAACCATACGCAGTTATAAATCCGCAGTTCTAAACCGCAATTATAATCATTTAAATAAGGCAGCAATTTAGCTTCTTGTGAAACAGTTTCGATCGAAGAAAACACTTTTTAAATTGTTTACTTTCGGGAAGAGCACGGGTGGCAAGGAATGCACAGGACATTGCTCTTGTACGCAATATTGTTGGTGATATCCATAATTTATAGATTCTTATGTGTTCTTAGGAATTGCTTAGCGTAACACGCTCCCTACACATTTGGGAATCAATTAAAAAAATTGAATTCATTCGAACCGTGATTGCAACTTGCTATAAACGTGCCTTCAGCAATGCAGAGCATTTTTAAAGAAAAATTCTTTATAAAGATAGAATATTTGATTACAATGCAAGTCAGAGAAAAGCACACTACCAGAAAATGTTATTTCCGTTCAGGTATTATTTAAGCGCAGCTGCCCGCATATATCATGATGAGTTTCGAAACTGAGCTGAAGACTTCAACGGAATATTCAGGTAGAGAAAAAGGAAAAAGTTTGTTGATTGGGTGGCTTTTTACACTCAAGTTGATACATGTAGGAGCGAAAAGCTTGAAATCAAGTTTGCTTTTTATGTCTTAAAAATCTTGAAAAATTTCTTCTTGGATTTGTTAAAAGTATATTTAATTTAAAATAAGTTTTAAAAAAATAAATAAAAGTGAAATTAAAAATAAATCGATGTATGACATAAGGAAAAAACATTTAAACAAAGGAAAAAAAACTTTAAATGAACCCTAATGCAAAGATAAGGGATTTGTGTTATTGATAGTCATGTTTGTAAAATGCATTCACTTATATAAAATACTTCCGTTATATAAAATATGTGTACGCTAGAGCTTTAGTGTGCTAGAAATAAATTACATTTGAAAATTGCAAACTCTCAAGACGACAACTTTTCATTAGGAAAGCGTGATATATACCCCAGAAGAAAATGAAGTTAAGAAACTTGATTGTGGTGATACGTATCTACCATCGAAAGCAAACAATTAAGTTGTTTTCTAATTGCTTTACGGTGATCTTTGGCGCAAGTCACATTTCTTCAAATTTCAAATCGAATGCATTTTGTGCGAATATCTGTTGATGAATGACATTACCTTGTGTAACTTGGAATGGAATTCAATTAACCAAATATCAAATCTCTATAAAATTTTCTTTGACTTTGCACACTCAAGGAAGAAATAAAAAAAAAAAAAAAAAAAAAATGGGATTAATGCAAAGCAAAGTTAAGTGAAATGACAAAATACTTCTGTAACCTCCTAACGGATGATAAGAATAAAAGGGAAACATCGAGAAATATCAATGGTAAGGCCATTTTGCGCCTGCAACGAGTGCTAGATACCCTCTTTTTGACACGGCCTGATATACAAATAATTTTAGATAATATTTAATCCATGCAGATCGTTATTCGTCTTGGACGAATTTTGGTAGTCTATTCCTATCAACTCTTGGCATAGCAGTAGGCTTTCTATGTACTTTTTCTAAATTTTTATATAAGACTAGGTATTAAACGTGTCTGTGCGTTGGGATAAAATTCAAATTTATTGATGATATTATGAGTGCCATCGCGCTAGACACTTCGAGTTTTCGAGTCAACTCGACGCGAACTCGATCGTCGTCAATCAGTAGCTTGCAGTACCGTAGATGCTGCCTATTGTCGTCCGTCTCTTTACACATTGATATGGCATACATTGAATGGCAGTTTGTAAGCAACCGAAATTTGTAGTGTACAAGCATCAACGTCAAATTTATCTATCTACCTATCTAAAAAATTTGGGACGAAATAAAAGCGTTAAATACTAATTCATAAAACAATCAATTTCAAGGCAAAAAATTTGTTGACATGACTATTTTATATTTAACTTAGCATATTGACATTTGTTTTAATTCGTGACGTTTTCGGACTCTTTTACCACTTGCGTATTTAACCGAATTCACAAAACCCAAATTGTTTATTTCAGTTTTTACTACTTTAAGAATTGCAATTAGAAAGACGGACGGACACATGAATACTTTCGCACTGATGAGAATATGTGCTCTTTTAGAACGTCTCTGTCATGTCAATTACTCCCACAGCAATAATGTTATTATATCGATAACCCCTTGGCAGTATGAGTACGTTATGACAATATGAACACTTTATCTGCGACTACATAAGTCAATTTACATAATTACAATGCAAACACAAAATGTGCCAGAAGAGATAGTCACATAAGTGTAATCGGAAGGAAAGACTACTCAAGTAATTAACTTTATCCTAATGTCCTTAATAACAACGATCATCAGACCGCAGTATCAAGAGAAATTTATGTGCTAAAGATTGAAAAGGTTGACATAGGTTTTACGGGTGGTAAAGCACCCGAACATAGCGCTGAGCAGAAAGTCAATGATTGTTTCGCAAGAGGAATGGATGGATGTAGAAGATATGAATACCCTCCTACCGTACGTATGTTATGGATGAGATATATAAGGAAGCTGTAAACTCGTTTTATTAAAATGTTGGGCGATTGAGAGCAAAGGATTTTGTAGGAAGCAATACAAATTTAAAAAAAAGCATAAACGAAAGAGGAAACGTGATCTCTGAGTTTGACGTGAGGTGAAGAACTTATAAAACAGTTGACAATAAGCTTAAATTTATGTAATCTATAAGACGGTTAATTGGGTAGCATTTCAACAGAATACACTACATGCGTCGAAACTGAAAAGAGAGTCTGCGATTGAATACTTAATCTAGAGAATAGTAAAGCGACTACATCTGTATGTGGAAAGAATCGATCGGAGGGACGATTACATTTTTATCATTCCGGAATCGTTTAGACTGATCCATGCTTTATACGTTGTTGTTGTACGTTATTTATCGAATTAGCTACTTTTAAAAAGGGTTTCCTTTTCTATTTCATTTTGAAGTTTTAGAAGACTTTCATAATTTTCACATACCACTTATATGAATTCTTGTCCGATAATTGGCTACAGAACTTCATTTAAACAAATTTATTAATGCTTATAGCAAAGATTTTGAGACTCTGTTTAAGAGAAGTAACAACAAATTGAAGATAATATCATACACTTTTTTCACATACCATATGTCGCGAGTGCAAAAGTACACATCGATGCCGGAAAACAATCACACATGCAACACTGAAATTATTGAGAAAATTAAATTTTTACTACGTTTGAAGAAGAAAGAAAGAAAAAGCTACGGCACGTTTTTGTGTTCAACAGCATAGGAAGAGTTGTATATAACTTTACCTTGTTAAATATGTATGTGTGTTTGTATCATTCATTCCCTTCAATTTGCTTTCGATGCTGTCGCTGTCGCTGTTGTTATTTATGCTTTTTTTTCTGCGATTGCAATTTCGCGTCCGTTTATTGTTTCTTTCACCATAAGTATGCACGGGTGTATATGAATAGCGTTCACATTTCCACGACATTTACTGTATTTGGTGAACACGTAAGCAAAAAAGTGTTTTAATTTCCTACATATACGATATTAACCTTTCCAATTTTTTAATTAAGAGAATTTTTGTAACTTTCGCAATAAGAAAAATGCAAAATATTGCATTTTCTCGTTTTCTATTTTTTTTTTTTTTTTTTTTTTTTTTTTTTTTTTTTAATACGCAATGTCAATAACAACAACAACTAACTGCACAACAACACTAAATTATTTGCTTTATGATAATGCCTAGAGGAGCATATAAAATATTAAGCCTTTATCAGGCCGATACGCACGTATTTACTTTCCCCATTCAATTCACCCTAATATTGATTGTCGTACCCGAGATAGCTGACATTATCATTATTATAAAGATCAATATTTTTTAGATGACTTAATACAATTTTCGATGATCTCATCATCGTTAACAACGTATTTATAATATTGTATAGTTGTATAGTTAATTATTTAAAATTTTCATTTAGCACTATTTTACATTTCAATTTATGCACATACACACATTTATTTTAACTCAGAAAACTTTGCATATATTTGACATATTTTTAGTATAATTGCAGTGGATTCACATGCGTATCTATTTACTTCAAAGAATATTCCCTCGCATTAATAATTAAATCAATTATAAAGGAACTTTAATGAGATTTCCTTTATTATATTCAATTTAATCCACAAGTGTTTATACCCATATGTGGTTTGCTTTAGATATATGGAAAGAACATCGATGCCTCCGTTTACCAGTTTAAGATTTTTTTTTAATATTTCGCACGAATTCTTATATGATGATATTTATTTTTATTTAAAGTCTTCAGATTGCGAAAGAGCCTGGAATCATTACAAGATTCTCTTTTACTGCGTAATTAATACCAATTATTGATTAAAGATTTCAATAGAATCAAAATGAAAATCTGGCTTCAGCCTTCTTTTCATATATATACGCTACAACATTTGTGGTACAGCAGTATATTAAGTTTGTGCAGATGTATGCAATATCTAGAAGAACTTGAAATGGACTCATCTTTCAATTAGATTGTCTGTCCGTCTGTCCGGTGTTTAATATACAAGTCGAGGTGTTTTGATAAAATTTGCTGCACTGACGTGTTTAGGGCCTAGGATGAACAATATTGAAAATGATTCAGATTCGATCTTTCCTTCGCCCACTTCACACACAATATCTTATTTTGAAAAATCGTTATTTGAACAACTGTAAGGCAGCGTAGGGTATATAGTGGGTATTTAATGATAAACTGTAGCCCACTGTAGACCTTTTACTTGATCATGACTTCATTAAGAAGAGGTTGTATTTAGCGTAGATCGAATATTTACTCGCGTAAATGAGAGAAAAACCCCTTTGATCACATTGCGTAAGAGCAATATGTCAAAATATGAGATGACTGCATATACTTTGACTTTGAGAAAATTCAACGTATTTCAGATTATTTAGCATTGCCATATTTACTGTCCAAAGGCGGGGCATGCTTTGCAAAACTCGTTGTTTCATTTGTAACAACCAAAAATATGCGTACAAGGTATCGTTACGTGTATGTACACTTCTGGATTTGATTATGTCAGTCTTTCCGTCTGAGTTTTTGGTTAAAACACACGCTGACCGTAAGGCCTACGTTTAGTATAAACACTTAGCACTTAGCCCACTTAGTCGATGACCGTAGAATACATATGAAAATGTACGATACGGTTTCAAATATCTTGCAATAATTATAAAACTCAAATAAATTTTCGATTAAAAGCTGACGCAAACTTTTGTTTTGCTAGTTTGGAAAGCGTTTTGTGTGATCGCGCCATGTGACGCCCTTTCTTGTACACTTTCAAAACGTTGTCGCCAAGCCAAGCAATTAAGTTTTGATAAACATATTTTCTATCGGCAGCAAAGAGTAAGTTGATATAGTCGATATAGACATTTCCTCCAAGTCTCACATCAATTAAGAGAATTCTCAAAATATTTCTGGTTGTTGCAAACGAAAAGAAAAAATGAATGTGCCGTCCAGTGGCAGAGGCAATGATGATTACATTCTTGATAAGGTCTAACAAACCAATAAAATACAAAATAAGGCAAGAAAACAAAAAACAACATACAGGCGATAAACATAAAAATTGAAATCTTTCCGCATTAAAAAAAATAAAATAAAGAAACGCAATAATAGTGTTATTCACTCTTCTTGTTAGGCAGCCGTGCATCGAAGCAAGATCTTCAGATTTTGAAATGCTGTACGGAAAGGACGAGAAAGGCTTGAAAGTCATTTTATATTCGCATTGAAGGTTAACTAGCCTACGTTGAAAGTTATTAAGAATCGTTTATAGTCATGTTTACGGCGATCAAAAGAGAAAAATATTGCTTCTTCGCTAAGTGAAAAGATTATTCATCAGTCATTACTTGTTTTTTTTTTTGTTTTCTTATATACTTTGAAGTCAGATTTTAACTGATATTGTTACTCTCCCCCTTCCGCCCCCTCTCTCTTTTTCTTATTCAAGCCAAAAATTTTATAAATTTACATATATGCCTACACATATACATATAAGATCTTCAGTAGCTTTTCGGGGCGGGCCAATACATTAATTCAAAGATGCTCCTAAGATATCCTAAGAAGTATGTTCAAGATCAATTTGAAATTCTAGGTTGATTCTGCGAAGCCTACTTTTGCTTGATATTCCGCAAAGTTCTCGGTAACGATTTGAAGCAATATTCCGCATTAATTCATTTATATAACACTCAATTCATATTCATACCGATACAACATTTGAAATAAGCGAATACTATATAATTTATTAGGGGGAACGCATTTTAGACTGCGTAATGTTCTTATCAATAAGATATCGCCCACAGTCGGATATTCGCGAACACAACGTCCTCACACCATTTCTATTTTCGGGCACACCTATCAAGGATTCGTTAAAATATACATTTTCAATCAATGAATGCAAGCTTCTATATCCGTATTGAGAAACACGTCCATTTTTATGGTTTACAATTCAAAAAGAATGCTGAAGGGTAACACATTCATTCTCAGAATTAATTGCCTCATGGATCTAGTTTAAATATGAAAAAAAAGCAGTAGACCCGCGAAAGCACTGGTAATAACTAGAAGACTAAAAGTAAAGTTTGAACACAAACGTAGGGTTCTGTATGCTTTCATTCAAACTCTACGAGGTCATATCAGCCGACATTATAAAAAAGTCTAACGAGTAAAGCTCTTTACTGGGTGTCGTTTGCTCACCTGGAACGTCAATTTTAGGAAGAAACTTCCTTAACTTAACATAAGCATGAAATAGGGTCAGTAAGATCGAGTCATCTATCAAACCTCTAAAATAGTTTTTTATAAAGTCCTGAAAAAATCATTACCCTCTTGTTCGTTTGTGAAGAAGAATACTTAAAGTGAGAATGTCAGCAACATAGTGTATTGTACCCGCTTCAGTTTGGGCATCGTAATAATACTTTTGGCAGTCGGTGTTTTATCTTAAAGAAAAATAATTTTTTTTTTTTTAGTTAACTCAGCTTTTTGCGAATTAAGCGCAATTACAATAAATAACTTTAGAAGCTTAGGAAGCCTTCTGTTTTGGCTTATTAATTTACTTAGATAATCAAGTAATCAGCTAACGAAAATATATCTCTGGACTGATTATGAGCTTGAATTGTCGTCAAGCTCTATTTTACCCAGTTCAATCCAGTCAAGTTCACATTCAAACCCTTTCATTAATCGATAGCAGAATAGGTGCTGTTCACTTATTATTTCTTCTAAAAAATTTCTCTCCATTGTTGTTATTATTAGTACCAGCTCGTCTGTAATACCTGCCTACAGTTACAGAAAGTTCTGGAACTGTCGACGCACTTCGAGCTCACTAGTTGTGAATAATAATTGATTTTACTTTAGATTTTTCTACTACCGAATAGTTCTAAGCTATACTACTAGTTATGTGAGTTATTTTTGAACAAAATGGCGGCAAACAAAGTTGCGAGCCTTCCGTGAACTAAACATCCTACACGAAGAAAAAAACAAAAAGAAGGAGAATTTGTAATTGAGAGACGCGAACGCTGCTAATAAAAAGGAAGTAAAACCTTGTAATTTATGCGAAACCTGAATGGAAATCGTAAAGTGGCGCTAAATAAAAGTAGTATAGCAATGAGCATCAGAAAACAAAACATAGCGTGTACAATAAACAGATGTGATGACTGAATAAAGTGCTTAACGAACCAGACCTTCGGAGGCCGTCCATACGTGTTGTATGCGTATATGTGAGCGTACAACAAATCAAATACAAGCGGCCTAAATAGCAATGAAATCCTATATTCAAAATAAATAATAATTTTTATGTGATCAGATATAAAGTGTTTTTACATCGAATTTTTATGTGCATCTGAAATTCGCGTTCTAGGATAACATTAATTTGAAACGAAAAAAATTAAAAAAATTCCGCGTCACATAACCCTGACCAATAATTGTTTTGATTGTGTATTGTGTAAAAATAAAAATTACTTAATTTCTCAATAATTGATTAAAAATAACAAACAAAAATTAAGCATTTCGAGTGACTATATTTACAAAAAAAAAAAAAAAAAAAAAAGGCGAAAAAATTAAAATTTTGCAAAAACATATGCAAAAAAATAAAAAACAAATATGTTTAATAATAATAAAATATATATTCTATTTGTTTTTCTCTCTCTCTGGCTTAAGGCCAAAATTATGACATATATATGTATGTATGTACTTTTGTTTGTTTGCCTATTAATAAACATGTACTTAAATGTATGGCAATATTGTTGCTCGGGAATGTTTACCAAAAATGAAACAACAAATCGTTAACGTAATTCTTACTTAAAAGCGTGTTATAATTAAAAGAAAAGAAAAAAAAATAAATTGGAAAAATATGCGTAGATCTGCTTTAAGGCCAACCCTCAATGCCTTCTACGGATATCTGCTTGAGGGCGAATTCTCTGCGATCTTCCCGTTAATAATTTTAAAACTACAACTGCAAAGCATTAGATGACGTTATAAACTGTTCCTATCAATAGTCGGATCGACGCGTTTTTTACCTTGATTTTTAAACTGTCGGCAATAATTATTAATCTTCTTATTATTATTATAATTGCGTTACTCCAAAGTAATACATTGTTGGATTAAAGTTAAGTGGGCGCTCCCAGCTCAGCTCTATCTATATTAAAAACGAATGCTAGATAATAGTATGGCAAGAACAAATTAGTTCGTTCCCTTTTCCAAATGCACTTTTGGATGCTAAGTAGAACTATGACTTCCTCATTTAAAAGCACTGCCTTTAAGCTGGAAACAGCCGTATAAGTTATCACACTAAAGCCTAGGGTTTTGAACCTTTGCGTTTTGCATAAGCGTAGTTCTTTGTCATAGTAATACTATCTACGAGAAACTTTACGTTTTCTGCTTAATTTGTAGGGCAATGTTCTTACGCGCGAACAAAACCGTGGAGGAGGTACGATATTCAACGATGAAGCAAAATACCCATGTCGCCCAATTTTGAGAGTTGGCAAGACGTGCTGTATTAGAATTTGTTCTAATCGAATGAAACCATCACTAAGGAATGCCAGCAATAATAACTGACGACAAAAGTGGGTTTGGTGCTCTGGAAGTTATGATAACGTGACTTTTCAGTAAGAAGAGACTCTGTTCCGTAGAGTGAAATTTCTTCAGGGAGTGTTCACAGTTATAACCTGCAATGTCGCACCTTTCCCGGTGTCATCAGCATGAATTACTGCTTCCGGTTAATACGGGTTTCAATAGATGGCTTTGATTATTTGTCCGGACGTTGCTTCCGTTCCTACCGCAATACCCAAATGTGGATTCCTCTCTCAAAAGGCTAGAGCTTTTTTTTTCGAGATAGAATTGGAAAACTGCCTGAGATGTTGGAAAAAGTGGTGATAGCCAATGATGGACAACATTTAGAATCGTTGTTATTGTTATCATTAGTGTTGTTATTATTATTATCTATGGGCGATGATCAATTCGAATAAGTAAGGCCTGTGATTAAATTTAGTTTCCAAGCAAGTCTAAGATGTCTATATAGGTTTTTGCGGCGTTCGGAAATCTATTAACGCATGAAACTGCATAAAACGACTAAAAATCTTATGGTGACCACAACTACATATTATTATGAGATTTCAGAAACCTTTTGCTTCTCGATATTAATGGAGGCTTCTGTTCGTTTTTTCCCATTTAGTATAAAAAAACCGGCATATAATGTGCATCTAAGTTAATGAATGAAACCCTTTTTTAAGATTACACCGTACCGCTACCTCGTAGTTTTCGATTCAAAATAATTTTCGTTTGTTCATTAAGAATATAGTTAAGCGTTTAATGTCTTGAATTGAAAATAAAATACATACGTATTTTTGAGCAAGTATTTATGGATTACAAACGGATTTACACCATTAATATATCTGCCACTACTGTGTGCCAAAATGAAATTATAATATATATTAAAGCAAAAGAAGCGAATGACGTAAATAAAAATGTTGGGCAAAGTTTCTTTATTAATCGACAAAAATATGTTAAAAAAAAAATGCAATTAATTTTATTGATATTTGAGAATTTGTCCCAGAAAATATTTGTCTTGACCACTCATATGACTAATTGTCAGTAAACGACCGCATGATTAAAAATACTTTTTCAATTTTTATTATTGTTTTGGATTTTTTTTCTGTCTTCTGCCATTTACGAAAGCATCATATTTATCAAGATTTGTACTTAAAACAGTTTTTGCTTCAGGATTTGATTTCAAGAAAATTACAATGCACGAAATGTGGGGATATTTGACGCCGTTGTATATGTAGTAATAACGAATACCGAATAGTTGAACATATTTAAGTTCTACTTTATTGCGCTTGCATGTGATGGGCACATATGCGTTCTATGTGCGGTATCTTTATCGGTACACATTCAAATACAAATAACCATAAACACGTTTTTTTCTTTTAAATACACTCCAAATCCGTTATGCAAGATACAAGAATATCGAGGACCTATTGCAAATATGTAGAAAAATAAAAACATTAAAAATATTTAGGACCACCTGTGTAAGGTAAGCTTCGGCATCGCACTTTTTGCAATATGAGAAAATCTGAATAAACAAACATATTAGTCTAAAATTTGCGAGATTGAAAGAAGCAAAAGCCAAATAGGTTGCTCTAAAATAAGCGAGCAAGTAAGTGTGAAATTCAAAGAAGCAAATTTTTAAGTACCCATTGCTTTGTCAAATTTCACAAGTTTGCCTACATTGCCATATGAACAGGCATTTGCGGAGAAACCGCCCATAACACTGTACGTATTCAGCAGCGTATTTCAATACAAACAATTAAGATGTAGAGTGTTCTTTAAAATTAGAAAGAAAAAAAAAAAAAAATGATTACATGAGCAAAACTATTGAACCTAGTACCTGTTAAGTGGCGAAGCAATCAGTTCGTTACTTCGATTTAGTAAATTTCGGACATTATTTCGCATATTGTTTACATCGCTGGAAGCTTTGGGCAAATAGATATTTATGCGATCAGGTTCTACAATTTTAAGCAGTCGAGTTTGCGACTTCCGAACAATTTTCATAAAGTTTGCTTTATCTTGTGTTGTCAACACTTTTAATAGTTGTTTCGTCTTGATATTCGGCAAATACAACTGTGATAACTGTTCTCAAAGAATACACGCCTAAATTGCAATCCATATAACTTCCGATTAGTGCTCAGCATTGCTTAAATTTCACGATAAATGGTATTATGAACTTACTTTAAGCTCACGCTTACGACTTCTATATATGTTCGTGGAACTGTGATGACTGCTTGTACTGAACGAATTCACCGCGGCAGTTGCTACGTGACGTTTGGCTGCTAAAACTGATGCTTTCCTAATACTCATATAAAAAGAAACTACTACTCGGATCGCAACTATCGCTAGGGTCTTTTCTTCTCTCTCTGATGCTAATCATATCTACCCTTATCTTAATAGGAATTTATTGTTGAAATGAAAATTCGTGGAAATTGGTTTATTAATGGTCTCAGCCGACACCATCAAAGGCTGACAAATGGCAATAATTTCGACTAAAGCAATTTTTCGAAACGACTATAATTACGTATACTTCAGTTCGTATGCTTCCCCGACTACATTTTTAAACAGTACATGCGTATATGAGTACATAAATCCGTGCAAGCAATTTCTGAGAGCCAAAGAAATTCCGTGGGAGCAGGAAAATGTGTTATAAAGTTGGCAAAATATTGGACCCTTTTTCTCTTTTATTAATACGTTCAATTACTTTCAAATTTTAACCGAAAATCAACCCTCCAAGAATTATTTACATTTCTTCGTCACTTAAATTGCAATTATATATATCCAAGTTCCTTTACAGCTTCGATCATTCCAATAAATCCATCCAAAAGTTCCATGCTTATGGGTAAAATCATTTGCTCCGGCAATTCAAAACGATACCATCTTCCTTTACCAGGTAACTCAATGGTAAAAGATATTGGTATACCTTTGACTGCATAAGCCCAGTCTTTGCTCCCACCGGTAAATCTTTCTAAATTTTTCAAAAAATTCAATTCATTTCCTAAGTATAGTTAAAATCGATTTGATATACTTAAAACATTAGCGCTGGATCCGCATTTGTATCTTGTACCAAAACGAGTCGCTAAAGCTTTAGCGAAAGCCCTCGCTACAAACATCATTTGTTCGTAGTGTTCGGGGAGCTCTTTGGTATGAGTCCAGGGTGTGAGCACGCATTGTGCAGCCGAATGTAGCCCTACATAAATTTTAAGAACACCATCTGGTATACTATCAATAAAATTTTTCAATTGCTGTATTTCCGGTTCAGATTCAGCGTGGGGGCCAGCATATTGAGTAGAACAAGGATCACTCTGTTTCTCTTTAATGAGTTGGGACGATCAAAATAAATGCCTTTAGAGATTAGAAAAAGTAAAGTGTTTTACTTACGTCCCCAGAGAAAGCCGAAATTACGATTTAAATCCGTACCTAGGCAATCGGGACTTGCCGGTCTTCTTGATTTCCGCCATAATCGTTCCTGCAACGTAATAGGAAACGAACATAATGTACAACTTTATAAATAAAACGCAACATATAGTGTACCTTCTTATGTGAGTAAACAAAACCGTCAACGTTCAATACAGGTATGATATACCAGTCAAGGCTCTCAGCCATAGTGCGTACATCCCGATTATGAGAAAATAATATTTCCTTAACTACATAAGTAATAGCCGATGATGTTATCCATTCTCGAGCGTGAATATTTGACTCAATAAAAATTGCTTTCTTTCCCGATTTAAAGGAGATTTTAATACCCCTTATTAATCGGCCCTCATACGAGCGTCCGATATTGAAGCCAGTAACTATTTTGGGGAATCTATCGATGAGTTCATCTAGCCATGCGTAGATTTCGCACAATCTGGGGTAGAAAGCCCAATCAAGAGGTCTAATAAATGGCTGGCCTGGAACCTGCTTATGTCTATGAAGAAAAAATTTGTGCTTACTAGCATAACTTTTTGAAAATTTGAACTTGAAGATTTACATTACGGACAATGGCCCACTTCCATCATAAGTTGGTTCATTTGCAGAGCAAGGACGGATAGTCCTGCAATTTAGGACACGTTGTCGCGATTCGTGCTCATAGACTTCCATGGCCTTTTCCCATATAGGTTGCAGTAAATGATTTTTTTTTTTTTGTTGATTTATTCCTGCGATAAGGCAGGCTTGGCTTTCACAAAATTAATAATTTTTTGTTCAATTTATTAATTACACATATTCTAAATAAAGAAATAAAAAAAATAAAAAAACGATAAAGTGAATATGACCACAAAATTACGAATATGAAAAAATCGATTAAATTCAATGGCAACTAGCATGAAAGGCGCAATAAAAATTATAAGAAAGAAAATCAAAAAAAAAGTCAACAAAAAATATTTTTTTTTTAATTTAAATCAAAAGTGTTGCGTTAGTACCTGATATCTCCTGGTGGTCTCCACGTGTTTTCTCCAGGCGAATTGAGACGTGGTCTTTCGATCCACGCTTTCAACTGATTGAAAAGTTTTATCTCAAAATGGTAATAATTCGCTTTAGAAACGGAAATAAGTCGCACGGATCCAAATCAGATGAGTGCGGCCATCAAATACCCGCGCCGAATAAGTTTTTGCTGAAAACTTTTACTAGGTTTTCAAGGTAAGCTTAAAGGCTTATCAGAAACGCTAACCGTTCACCTCTTCTTAGGGTTTTTAAAGATGGTTTTCAACAGTTCACAAAAAATTTAATCTCAAATATGCAAATCTTTGGAGAACGTTTTCAATCAGCTAACTTTCAAAAACTTTAAAAATGGTCGACTATTGAAAAGCCAGCACTTCCAGTATAACGCTCGTAACTTAGGCAGGAAGTTGGGTCAATATCCATGTCGCTCGCCTAAATTTTGAGCGCAATACAGTTATAATGTTAAACGGAAAGCGAGTTGTAGTATATGCCGTTCACCTTCATAGTTTCGTAAAATTAAGCCAACACTTGAAACGATATCTTGGATATTCGGAGCAGAACGAGATATTAAACAAGCAAAAATTATGCGATATCGAATTTTTGGAACTTGTGGTACACCCGTCTTTTATTAAACCGATCTATTCAGAATCATTTTCTACATCGATCTACACTTGTGTTTCTGTCTGTCGATCCATCTTGTTTTGAGGTATTTTGATAAAGACATATTTTGGCCCAAGTGTGAACAGCATTAAAAATGGTTCGATCAGATTGCTTCGGAAGTAGTATAGGGTATACAACGTCATAAAAACTGCGACAAAAAGTCCAACATAACGTAATCATTGCGTAGGATTTTCGGTTTTCAAACGATATTCGCCTTATGAGGTTATTTCGGATTATGATGCCAGATCAAGCCCAAACAAATACACAGCAAAAGCAAATTGATGGATACGATGACGATGTAAATCAAATCAGTTTTGTGGATGCCTCGTTCAATCCACTCAAATTCTCGATATTACATTCCTTATGGAAGATCTGGTTCTCTCAGGAACATTCCACTTAGTTTACATTACAGAGACAGGAAAGTAGTAACACCGATCCCTGGCTGACTCAAATTCGTGCAGGGGTTAACAGCTCCCGTAATATGACGATGTATAAGTCTCCGCTTTCGGCATATTATCTCGTGAGAAAAACATGCACAATATTTATAAAAGACGCAATAAGAATGAAAACACTTTACTAACAAGATTACTTTTTACTCATTATTTTCGTTGATACTTTCCCTGTTGATTGCTATGGAAAGATAATCAACTATACAAACGCAGTTGCCACCCACATCACAGAAGACACAAAAACACAAAACAAACAAGGAAAAGCATATATAACTACCATGAACGGGTAACAATGAAGGATATTAGATGGACCGTTTGAATTGTTAACACGACCATACCAACCAACCACCACACAGAACACATTAATCATCATTATTTAGATATCTATCACTATATCACTATACTACCAGCTAAGCAAGAGTTGCGCGAGAGATGTTTTCATCGAGATAATGTGGGACTTATGCACACAAATAAATAAATAAATAAGCAAAGAGCTACGATACATACGTACATACATACGTGCACGAAAGCAATTGTTAACCAAATATGCTTATCAATATTTCCCTCATGCAAGATTTTGGAATTTATTTACCACAAAAACCAAAAACATTCATTTCGCAACATATGCCAGAAAAATACGGCGAAGAGTGTTTACATACGAAGATAACTGATAATTTTTTTTCCATTTTCAAAATTCATGCATATATGTGTACGTGTACGTTCTCGTATTTAGGCAATGACGTTCAGTTTCAATTATTATTTATACATGCGATTATATGCATTATCATCTGTGCTGTCGTCTGCTCAATGTTGTGTCATATACCGCTAAAAAGAATTTAACGAGTTTTCCTCTTTTTTGTTTTTCATCATTTTCTAAATGTTTTTTATAAAAATTTATTTATTAAACCTTTTTTCCTCGTCTATCTTAATGCATACAATATATTGTCGTCGTTGAAATGTTATCAGCTCAAGTCTCTACAATAGTAACTTAAACGCTACACAATAGCGTCAACAAGTATTCACGCGTTGTTCTTTTCTTTTTCATTCTAATACATTCTTTTATTTCATACATTTTTCTTATCTTAAAGAATTTTATTTATTATTGTTAATACAACACAATGTGTGAATATATCTTGCCCTGGTATTCGTTCTTCTAGGCAATTACGGAATGTAACTTGAAAATTAAAAAAATATTCTATGATTTCCTCCATTCTCTTTCCAATATATTGCTTCAACGCATTTATCACAGAAAATATTAAGCCTTTTCGGTATTGCGGGCCAAAGAACGCTTAGTTCTTGAAAGTTTTAAAAAACGTTCAATTAAGACAAGAATCGTAGAAAAACTATGATTAACACATGGAAAGTGTAGTGAGAAGAAAATTGCAACAATCAGTGCGATCTGAAAGAAAAAATTCCGTTAGAGCTAACATTGCTCTATTAATGGTGAAATCGGTTCATCATGCTCTTGCTGGGCTATCTTTAGGAATTACTATAACCTTTTTACCTGAATTGTTTCATTTATCTAAAAAGTTGTCCAGAGGCACTTTTGCTTAATACCTAGAACGTTCGATATGAGCTCACACCCATATTAAATATGTTGATTTAAATCCTTCGCTACTCCATTTGCCTTTCTATTTCCTACGTTCTCAAATGCCGCAAAGTTGTAAATACACAGTTAACCATATAATGCTTTGAAAACAACTATAAATTGTCTTTGAGAACAATAACTTTATATTGTTCCAAAAATTTCAAGTTAACCCAAAAACAAATAAGAAAATTATATCCGGCTAGGGCCGAATCTCTTATACCCGCCACTTTTTTCTTAAAAAACCGAAAAAATGTTTGTACAGGCATACACGGAAATCATGATTGCATCTGTAATGGGTTATGAATGAGCACGAAATTCAATTTTTTGGCTTTCGAAGACAAGGCTATTCTCCGTTTAATTTGTACTCTGGGTGTATCCTTTGACCGATTTGGTCCATTGTTAATACCAACCTTGTCGCAAGAGCTTCTAATGTTTCTTCTAAATTCGAAGCCAACAACCCCATCCTTGGGGCCAGGAGAATGCTTAGCAAAGACATCGAATGGATGGACAGACGATGCAGATCGAATGGGATTTCGATGCTGATAGGCGACTTTTGTAATTTACAACGTCTCTGTAACTTCCCTCTTTTGACAAAGTCAACACGCTCCCGACCCCTTCTAACACAAATTCGCGGAGGCGAAGTAACAATAAGATTGATAATCACCGCTACAAAGCCTTTCATTTAGCATCGAACAAAATCTTGTTTTTATTTCAAAATTTTCTTTCAAACATCCAAAGATGATACAAACTTAATATAGTCAGCACAAGATTCAAGGTGAAATCAAAAATTCTCAGCTGTCTGTCTGTCCTTTTAGCCGCGGCTATCAAAATGTTTCCGTTTATATTTTTGCTGGATGGTCACACACCGAGTTTGAAAGTGGATGCCATCCGCCCACGAAAGATGAAAAAAAACAACTTACATATCGTGGCAAATAGTAAGCGAAAGCTTTAAACAAAAATATATAATAAGTGAAAATATGATTCGAAATGGTTAATTGATCAAAATCTGAAGCAACATTTTTATTAGATCGAAGACTATTTTAATTTTCTCACTTCCTGTTTTTATAAATTATCCATCAGCGAAGGATGCCATTATGTCGAGCAATTATGCAACAAATTGAAACAATTGTAAATCAAATTTTCGAATTTGATTTGCCGTTCTAAGAAGGAGTGCTTTGCTAGACCTGCCATTTTCCTTCCATTTCCAAATTTTTTTACTTTTTTGCCTATCCTTTCATGTATGGAAATCAGGGCAATTAATAATTCTTGCACTTTTTTTCTTTTTATGCAAATTGAGAAATGTAAAGCTGTCTTTAGAGAATATAAAGTTATGTTACCGCCTTCAACCCCTTGTATGCCTTGAGGCAAGAAAATATGCGATCTATAAATAAATATCAATCGATACTGGATACTATAGGATGAGCATGTTAGGGAGAGACATACGGAAAATTTACTATTAATGTGGGTATCTAAGATTCGCTTCAAGCTTTCTGCTTTGTTTCTCAATATATTTAAGAGCATTTCTTATTGCAGAGGTTAGATATCAATATTTGTACATTTTTATATGCGAATGTTTTTATGTATTTCTGGGAATTTAAGACTCCATAAATACACTGCAATTCCATATAATGCCTATAAATGTCTGCATTTGAAAGATTCAAGAGATTTTTCATTGCATTTTCGCACACAAGAAGTTCTTGGTCAAGTTTGCTTAGCGCTATCTTATGGTAGCTACGTGCGCCTGAGTGTCTGTGCATTGCAGTTGTTTTTGTCATTTTTAAGTTTGCGATAATAAATTTCCTGTTTTAACCATAAAGGTTAGAAATTATTTTCTGGCAAAAACTTATAATTTATGCTTATCGTATATTGTAGGTAATGTGTGTGACTTGGTTTTTTTTTTTTGTTTTTTTGCATGACTATTAATGACTCCAAAAACTAAAAGTTAAATAGAATAAAAAAGGGTATGAGTTTTTCATAAATATTTCTATAAGAAAATTGTGCCTTGGCTAACGAGAGCTGAAACCAAAAACTACTACTAAAGCGAAGAATAATGGATTGAAATCAGAGCAGCGATAGTATGCAATAAATCAAAGTTTAAGGTCATTTTAGATGGTGGCGAACGCTTTCTTTGATCGAACGGTATTGTGCCGCTACTGCACGAGGCCATAGCATACCTATCAACAATACTCTGAATTGCTTAGATTTCAGTTTTTCCTTACATTTTGCTAACAATTTTCCTTTTTCCAGACTTTATTAATTTATCATTCCTTTTGTAACACCTCGAGCGCTAGAAGTCGTACTCTTGGTAGAACTCTCCAAATCTCATATAAAGTATTTACAATTTGAAATCCTTGACTAACTTAGTCAGATCTCCGAGTCATGTCTCCGAAACATTGGCGCTGGCCAACGAGCTGAAAACTAAGGCAAGAGATATCAGATATCGTTGTCTAGAGGTCTAAGATCAAATCTTCAACAGTGCCCACATATCACTGGAAAACCAAATTATGAAATTGTTTTCAAGGCACTTATAAAAGTTTCGCTAAAAATGGTCCCAATCGGCCAAGTTATACGTCCTTATTTAACAACATGTTAATCAATTTATGAATATTTGCAATAATTCAAATAGAGTAACCAAGGATCTACTGCAGCTACATAAAGCTTTGTTTTTGTGTCTCTTGGATGAGTTTCAGCTGAAATCGAAATTTTTGGCTTTTACAAGAAATTTCTTTCTTTTACAATTCATTCATGCATTTTTAATGGTATACATTACAAATCGTGATAATTTTATCGATTTTCTGCATTTGCATATAATTGATAATGTTTGTTAAGCCAATCAGATATACGCGACTACGTATTCGAAAACGTCACGTTTTGCATTGTTGACCGATATTTTTTTTTTTTGCCATTGTTTACTGTTTTTGTGGATTTTTTTTTTTTTTTCCAAGTGTAGATATGAAATATTTACACAGGCAAGCGACTATTCAATTTATAGACTACAAAGTGGTAAAAAAATACTAAATTAATATGAATATATTTATAACGAATATAAAATATAACCATAAAGCACATATTTACTAATGCATTATGCAGAATTGGAAGTGAAGGGTGTCTCAGAACCAGCTAGCTGAATATTTTTAACAAACACATATTCTGTTAAACTATACAATAAGTGCTTTTTTCTATTAAGGGCATCCGCTCAAAAAGCTATTGGGAACGTGAATAAGTTTTTGCGGACAGAGCGAAATTAAATGTTTATTAAAGAAAACGTGGACGGTGTATTTTTGCTGTAAAATGTACGACAATTCCTACGTACTGAAGGTACAACTCTGCCAATAAAATGCATTGTTCGATTCACGCTCCAGTTCTACTTGGCTCCGTTTTGCATGTTCATTGCATTTTCCATTCTAACAGAGCATTTCAATCCACTAATATCAATTTTATTCACAGCATTGTCGATCGATGGGGACACAATTTTCTCCATTCCCAACAAAAGCGCTTTTTCCGCGGCGAAAAGCCTTGTAGATATTTGGGGGCTATTCGCATGAATCGTTGACGGCAAGAAAGAAGTGAGAAAAGAGAAAGAAAGAAAAAAATACGAAGGTTGCGGCCACAGCCTAGCGGATGTGAGCCCAATCGATAAGTATTATGCCTGAACAAAGTAAACTCTATTGCACTGACATTTGAATCCGCGAACAAAGACTTTGTGGTCGCAATGCTTCCCTATACGGCTACTCAGGCGGATAGTTGATGTACAGTCATAACAATTGAATTAATCAATTGAGACAAAGTTTAGCAAACAGAGAGATAGAGAGAGTAATGCCTAGGAAGTTAGCTGACTGCTGTTAGTATTTCTTGGCCCGAGTTTTCCGATACTGTGCTGAAAGTTCTCATGTTGGAAAACCACGATTCCATATTAACGCTTTAGCTTGCGTGAGGCAAGTTAAACCGCTACACTACATTAAGTTGGCCGCAAATGTTCAATTTTGTGGCCGATATTAGTGGTTTGTCTAATCTCTATCAAACTTGTTTGAATAGTCGCATTTCCCGAACATGGCGATTTTGCTTCTTTTTTTTTGGCTTAAAAGTGGATTTATTCAAAGTTCCAAAAAACCTTATGCCACACGCTTCATTGGCTTTAAGCTTCTTGAAAGCAGCGGGGGCTTATTCAATATTCCGATATATTTTCCAAAATGAAATCCATTCTATAACTTCATTGCTTATCAGGCCATCTTGTCACAGCCAAAAGTCACAGGCGCCAAAAATTTTGAATTTATGACAATCGGGAAAAGATATGCTCAGCTTTTGAGGTCGGCGCCTAGTCGGCAAACACAGTCTTGCGATTAGTTGTGCAAGACTCTTTCCTATTGCATTGTTCGTTTCAAATCTAATGCTTGCTTATATGGGCACTTGTAAAAAACATAAAGCCATTTCGCTTCGTCTGCGACAATTAAGTAGCAAAACTAATAAAGTTGTCTTTAAATTTCGCAATGTCATTGGCACCATTTCATTGATATTGTCTAATTAAGATCATTTATCGGCTCGTTAAAATCGTGTTAGCGGAACACAGTTGTCATAATATTTTTTCATCCAATTCTTAGAGCGTTTAAACTTAGGTTTGCAAATCGCAAACAATGTTGTTGGGCTGCAACAATTGTTCCATAAATCACTTGTTGGAAAGCCTTTACAAGTCATCCCCACATGGCAGTTTGCCGACGAGTTGAGCATATCGATTGTCGAAAATCTCAGGCGGAGTACGAGAGCTCGCCTTCTCGATAACGCAGAATGATTCGAAGTAGCGCATAGTTCTGTTATATATTTTTTTAAAGAGTAAATGCATTAAATTGCATTGGTTGTACGTTTGCCTTGCTCTCCAAACTCCAAGCAAGTGCGTTCATGCACGGTTCTTGTAAAAATTTGTTTGTTGTCATTTCAAAAGTCCATATAATGCAAACAACTTCTGTTTTACTTCTGCAAATCCAAATCGCATTGTTAATATTGTCAAATCGCAAAGGGTATAATGGATTCTACCAAGCTTTGAACTTCATTTTGGAACACCCTGAACAAGACAATTTTAAAGATAAGATTACCAAATTGGCGTCGAGAAACTTACATATGAGAAATTCAACGATAACTTCGCACTGGGGAGCTTTCATAAAAAAAAAACTTAATCATAAATGCAAAAAAAAAAATGCGTATACACATAAAGTGATCCATGGCAAGCGATGATTTTTTTTTTTTTTTGTTTTGAGCGCTTAAGATAAAATTCTTTGTACAAAGAACTTCTTCTGTCAAAATTATATAATGAAATGTGACATCACCTTAATTGTGCAAATATTTATTTAAAAACTTCAAGCATATTATTGCAATAGCGATGACAAGTGAAAATGAAATAAATGCCCAGATTGATTACTTTATATGGTATTTAAACGGGACATTATGTAATAAATAGACAATTGATGTGAAAAATAAAAGAAAGAAGAAAATTAATACAAGCCAGTCTCTGAGTGAAAAAAGAGAGAAGAAAGAAGAAATGTACAAACACCAACCTTAGAAAGAAATGCTTGTTTTCAAACACTTCGCGCGTAAGCTGTTGAAGAATGTTAATGCCGAGTGACATAAGTGACGGTGAAATGTTTACTTGCTAAAGAAAAAAGCTAAATCATTTCACATGAAATTATTGTTGAAATCATTAATTAAATGCAGACGGCACGGCACTATGAATTTTAAAAACTCATCATGCAACTGTTTATTAGTTGACACTGTAAACATATTATTACAGTTTAGACCTCTACATACTCTAAATAGGCAAGGTAAGCTACTCAAACGGGTCGGTTCCGCTTCTCTTAAACATAAACATTAAAATTAAAATTACGGTCGTCCTTTAAGGCAGCTATCCTTTGGACCTGCTTCCAGAATGAAAAATAAATCCATCATTAATTGAGGTGCAGTTCGAGAAAAACGAATTGAGGAAAGTAGGATAAGACGAAGCTACAG